CTTATTCTCCTTGGCAGCAGATTGCAGTTCAGTTGAGTTCCGTCGTGTATTCTTGTAACTGGCACAAAATGTAGCTTGGAGCGCTCTTTTCAGAGCTCAGACTCTCAAAAAGTAGGTATCTATAGCGAGCAAAGTGGCATAAACAAACAAAAACTGCAGCGAGCCCAGCCAAACAAGTACACACACATATATACTTGTATGTATGTGTATATGTTATATACATATGTGTTTGTACATAGGTATAATAAACATTTAAACATCTGTGAATATTGCGGCCGCCCAATACGAATGTGAAAGGTAAACAAAAACATTATTATAAATGCATGGATCCGACCCAACCATAAGCAATGCACACACACACACACACACACGCACACATTTATGCTAACAACGCCACATATGTGAGTTGTTTACACACACACACATAAATAGTAGTCTGCAGAACTGGGTGGCAAAACAAAACAAAAGGCGAGAGAGACGAACTCTTGTAAGAGCTCTAATGGCTTTCGAGCATACTATACAAGTATGGTATCCAAAAACTAGTTCAGCGGCACTCAGTGGTTGCCTTGAGCCACAAAGTACAGGTCGGCCAGTACTATGCATACACTATAATGGTTTGTTTTGATGACTTCCTGCACAACTATACAATAGTTCAGGGCCGATATGGAACTAACATCGTTGTAACTGAAGAAAATGGGCAGCGTTCACAGAACTGGCAGTCCGAAACTGAAACCAGAAACTAATTCAATTAAACTCAATCAGTGCCAAGTGCTTGCAAGTGGTTCGAAGAGTTTAAACACACACATATGTACGAGTACATACTTATATGGTAACTATAGACAGACTCGTGGCATGGCATGACAATAGAGAAATTGAATTAAGGCAGAGTTAACTTTTACACAATGCCCACATTTTGCCATTTTCTGATGATGTCGTAACTCGGACATACACTTGGACCCGCAACCACAGCCACCAATACGTGTATGCGACACGAATTGCTGTCTAGGCTTTATATTTATTGGAACAACAATTTAATCAAACAGACCGAGAACTGACAAATCGAAGCAATATAGCAAGTAATGCCAGTTATTAAGTTAACTAAATTAAAAAAAAAAAAACAATATTTATAGAATTGGAAACCACATCGAATTTGTTTTTTCTTTCGCAATTCGCAGACTTCCATATTGGTTGAAGGAATGCCAAGGCAATTACCGCACAATCAGTTTAGAAATCAAATTAGGTATGGCTCTTGTTTTTCTAGTGTTAAATGCAATGCTTAACTGTGGGTCTCTAGCTTAGCCAATCTCTCAAGAAGATCCTAACGCAGTGACGATTTTTTTTTATCATCTCGGCATTGAAGAATTTGAATTGTTCGATCAACAGATCAACTATTATTTCAGATATCCTTGAGTGCAAAGAGGCAGATAGTGGGAAAGACAGACTAAATTGTTGCTTTCCTGCTTCTGGGTGTTACACACATTCTCATTGTCTAGAGGGTGTAAATAATAGCTCGCTAAACGTTCGTTGACTTCTCAGCTGCGCACTGTGAATAAAGTAATTACGATTTTAATTGAATCTAACTAAGTGTGGGGAAAAACAAAGGCAGCGCGCTTGTAGGAAGTAAAAATAAAGAAGAGGAGGTGCGATAAATAAACACACTCCCAATTAACGAGTGTCACCGGCCTCCCACTTGTGAGTAGTTGACAAAAGGCCCCGTTTATTCGACTGGTGTGTGGGGCTAATGGCTCGTCTGAATATTGAGTATTTTTGTTGCTGCCGCTAAAGTAGTTTATAAATGGGTTCAAGTGCGTTTCTTGCCACAACGCGAAACGGAGAAACAGAAAGCTCGAATTACGCTCGCCAGACGGCACAAATTGGACTCCAAATGGACAGAGAATAGGATTGAGTTGAGTTGTGAAACGCGCATTAACCGCAAAAATATGAAACGTTTTGTAAGAAACTCAAAGGAGAAGAGAAACAAATGATGCCGTTGGGGCACATAAAGTACAATAATAACAAAAAGTATTGGCAACAAAGAATTATTTATGCACATAGGTCAGGTCTCTAGGTCTGCGGGACGACCTTAATTTATGCAAATCGTTACAAGCTTGGTTTTCTCATTTTTTGCCAGCAAGGCGAATTCGAAAGTGTTGGCAACTGCTATTGGCACACCTGCACAAAAACGCAGACAGACCAGCGGCTATTTCTTTGCTAATCTAGCAGTCGATCATTAGCACAGACTTGGAGAGATCATCAGTGGTTTCGAAAAAGTTACGACGAACAGAGATTAATACCGAGCTTTGAAGTTTCTAATTTAAAGTAGCGATTTCCAAATCAATCAAATTTAACTCTGAGCAACTTTGTAATCACCAAGATCAACAGATTCCTGCCTCTTACAAGTCTATTTTGGCAGAATCCAGTTTCTGCTTTAGTCAGACTTCGAGAGATAGGCAGTAATTATGAAAAACGTAAAAACGTTAAATTAACAATTGCCAAATCAATCATCCATTATTTCACCTCCTATATCTCTTAAAATGTAAAGAGTCACGTTCTATTAGATAGACTATTGCCCCCTAGAGACCTATCTGTGGAGATACAAATTTTGTGTTTGTTTTCACTCAGCAACTTCTTGGTACTGTGAAGCCACGCTTGAGCAGTTAACGAAGCACCTGAGGCAGAATCTCAACACGGTCCATACAAGTAGACTAACGAGATGGATCCATAAAACAATGCCTTTAGTTAAACGCGGCATTTAAACGTGGCTCAAGGCACGCAAAGAAATAATAGGCATTACAATGCCATGCAAGTTGAAAGCTCAGTAAGAATTGCAACTGAAATATGTAGACAACCTCCTTATAATTAAAGGTTCTGCAGAGTTCAAAAACGAACAACTATTACCACAATATGAAAAACAAGTTACAACTACAATAAGCTTCTTCTGCCTGTTACACACATTCCAACTCTTCAGTATACCCTTTCACCCCTCGCGTATAGGGTATATCAAATACATTATGCATTTGCCAGCATACGAAGAGCATAAATCTTGGTTATGTTCATGGAGGCTTAAGAAACAAGCGATTTGAATGCCAAATGAGCCGCCGGTTGCCGCCAACGATGACGAAATGCAACGCAATGAGTTTTTCAATATTATAGACAGCCCAGCAACAATTTTTGAGGACTGGAATGTCGCAAGGCGGCGTGCTAAGGGGGCAAGAACAAAAAACGTGTTTGGGAAAACCGGTCCGCATACCTATGCCAACAACAAACACATCGAGCTGTGGAGCTGCTGTGTGGGTGCATCATGTGTCAGTGGCAGCATTCGTGGAGAATGGTGCGTTATGGCCGGATGAATATAAATCCGACGTACTTGGCCAGCTTGTCGGTCAGATAAGTCAACTCCAATTGCCAATTGACACGACGTCGCACGACACCGTCTTATGAGTCACGTCCAAACGTTCCGGGGGCTTCTTTTTCGACTGCTCTTTTGCACATAAATACAAACATATCTGTATGTACATTACATATATATGTACGTATGTACATACATATGTGTTTAATTTCAAGACGTGTCTGCCTCTGTTTATGTATTGCGAATTGTATAATACGGCAGACGAGAAGAGAAACAGTCTTACTCGTGATACAGCCAAAACAATGGTTGCATTTTAAATGCTGAGATAATGCAGGTTGAATATGTATGTGGATGGCATAGAATTAACTAACATAATATACATACAAGTACATATACATACATATGTATGACTGATGTGGCTGCTGGTGCCCGTTTTCTTCTACATACCTACTTGTGTAGGTGCATGAAGGGTTAAGGGGAAAGCGCACAAATATAAATGTTTATATATTTTTGAGCACCTCAAAGATACGAGTTCAATATACTTAAGACAAGGTATTATTAAAATTACAAGACCTTGAGTTACAAAACTGAATGTATGGTATGTTTTTACTTTGAAAAAACAAACCGCAAAAGTTGTTATATATGAGTTAATTGTTGAATATGGGTCTAAAACAGCAATACTAGCTTTGAACAAACATAAATATACCAAACATATAGGAGTTGTGGAGATTTCCAAAACGAAGCGGTTAGTCAGCCTTAAAGGATATCCAAACCCAAACAGTATTATTTGCGACTTATAAATTATTATGGAACTAAGCTTGAACTACTTTTTTAATCAGCTGGACATAATCATAATCTCAAATGTGGATGAATCATAACACCTATTTCATCAAACTAACATAGAATTAGGCATTAAAAGAACCAAAAACGAGGGAGAGGTCTGTTTCATTAATCTATATGTGGATAAAGATCTTTTTTTATGACTCTAAGATCTCATCATGCAATGAATTAGTTTTGTATATTTGTTTTGATTTAAAAAAATAATAATTTAATAATGAATAAAGTATACATTATCCATGTAAATAAATTAACTAAGCCAGAACTGAATCTGTACATGCAATCAAATAATTAAACAAAAAAAAAAAAAAAAAAAAAAACGAATGACAGAATTTTTGGGGAATATATTACACATTTCGTAAACAACTGCTTTGAAAATGCGTGGCAGTTTCGACATTTGAAAAATTAAGTACGCAAAACATCGAGTCGCATATAAAACACCAGCATAAATAAATGAAAAAAAAAAAAAATTATAACAAACGCAAAAAAATGTAATTAAATAAACAACAGAAGTAGAAAAAAACAACACAACGGACAGCCACAAAAACAACAATCGAGCGATGTTGAAAGTCGTTTTGCCAGTTTGTCGAGCTGCTGGCCAAGTCCGGGGCCCCAAAAGCGGTAGCCAACATGGTCAGAGAGCCGAAGCTCTCTACAAGCAGCAGCAACAACAACAAAAACAGCAACACATGACAACGATTGCTATGACGATGATGTCTGTCCACCGGGCTGCCTACAATGCAATAGCTTCGGCTGCCCAGACTCTGGGCCTGCTCCAGAGCGTAGGGTGCAGAGTGTGTTCATTTAAGCTTACCATAATGTGCACGATGCTGACCTTTTGGCTGTGGAAATTTTTTGCTGTTTCAGTTTTTAGCGATTCAGCGCTTTGTTTAATGACTTCAACTTGGCGATTTTTCAAATAGCACTTTCGCAAATATTTATTATTTATCATTAATGCTGGAGCGTCTCTTTCTTTGGCATCTACGGTTCTCTTTTTAGCCTTTCAGCTGCTCCAAGCGTTTCCGCATTATTATTGATCGAAAACAATAAACAAAAACACCAACATGTTGAATACAAAAGTGCCGTTTTGACACTTTCTTTTTAATTTACACAATTTTTTAATATCTATTATTAATTTTTCCTCTTTCTTCAGCTTTCTTGTATCAATTTTCAATTATTTGTAATTACAACTTTAGCGATTTGCACTTTGCATTTCATTTCGTATCCCGCGCGCTCTCCAACACAGCACTTGTTGCTTTTGTTGTTGCTGCCTTCAATATACTCGTACTTATTAAAATGGATATTTGTGCACCTCTTTCGTTGTCTGAGCAGACACATTAAACAACATTTAATTTCCGCACTATTCTGTGTGTATTTTTAGCCCAATCGCGTATATTAAAACTCTTTTTTATTTAATTATGCATGGCGGCAGAACAAAACGCGAAAGACGCGGCTAAATCGCTTCACAGAGTCTCGACGCTACCAACAACACGCGCACACAACCGTTCCTCTCAAGCGCGCTCACCGAAATGAGATCTGTTGAGCAGCGACGCCAGCCAAGTGGTGGAGTTTCAGCTGAGCGCAGCTACGTCGACGACAATGACGTCGCGACGCCAGCAGCAACGTTGCTGCGCATGTTCAACGTCCAACCAGGGTGGTTCAATGTAATAATTTTTAGGTTCGAAAATCAAACAAATTTTGAAATTTATTAATAATGTAATTTATTTTTAAAGAAATCTCTCCGTAATCTTTTGCGTTTTGGTATATAGTGCGGTAACATATACTTTATTTTTGAGTTGAACATCATCTAAGTACAGTATATTCTTTATGTGCCACAAAAACGATCGCGTTTAATTTTAAATCCATATGGTTTAATATATATAATGTAATATATGTATATAGTTTCTTATAAAATAGTCAAATAATGCTTCTGTGCGCACTTTCGTAATCCTTGGAGTTTTTCAATATTTTAATATATTTTTTTAAAACGCAATTCTAATAAGAATTTTAACAAAATAGTTTCCTGCTACAAAGTACTCCTCAGGATTTAAAAGTCTTCTTGTAAAATAACATAAATTTGTGAGCAAATTATTTGCCTGTTTGGCCAACAACATATTGGAGTTTATTATTTCCACTATTCAAAGTACTTTTTAAATTTTCAAACCTAAAAACTGAGCCGAAAACTTTAATGTTGAATTCTAAGGATTCCATAATCAACACATACGTACAACGGCCAGTTTAGACACTATTACGGCTGCATAGCAACACGTGTTTCTGCCACAAAATCACAAGAAGCTCAAACCTGTTTCAGGTCTGTTTGTGTTCTACGTTTCCTTTCTGAGTTGTTTTTGTTTGCTAAACAAAGTACCTGCTGAACAGCGATAGCGTATGTTGTTGGGGGCAGCAACGGCTACGTCATAACAGGAAGTTATCACCATTTTATGGAAATATTTGCCACAGATTGAATTGAAGGGCGTTTTATAGGCAGATAAAAGTAAAATTGAAACGCCTCCTCATTTCAAAATCATTTCGTATCGTTTCACCATTTAAACACCCACTTTTGGAAGCAGATGCTCGCTTCGGGCCGGGTACACAGCATGCAAAAAGATATCGTGTGCAATGTGTTGTTTCTATTTTTACAATTAAATGTATTAATTAGCTAGACGATTTTGAATTTGATTTATTTGTTTTTGTATTTATACACAGCTACATTGATGCAACTTTAATTGCTGGCTTCAATTGGATTCATCCGGTGAAAGTAGCGAAGTAGAAGGGGTTTCAAAAATCGCATTTAAATTTGCATGCTTCGGGTGTATTTAAAAAGTGAAAACTCCAGGAGAAGGCATATCGATGCATGAAATCGTGTTACTAATTAATAAATAAATTGCAGCTTACTTAACTTAGTCTAGGATCCGCGTTCACACTACTGCAGAATCTCGTGCTGCCAATCGATGATATTCAGCTGAGGCTTAAAACGTTTTATAGGATCTGTAGGATAAGAAAAGTATTGTAATTAGTAACCATTGCGATGAGATTGGGCTTTGAAATAAGGCTGGGCTTGGGGATAAGTTGTTTTCTACACATCAATAAAACACAGGTGATATAGATATACATATGTATGTTGGCAGATCTAGAAATACTGTGGGCTGGCATTTTCTACTTTAGAATTGACTTACTTATCAAAGCATAGCGCTGTTCCTTTTGCAATGCCATATAATCGACATTGGGGCCTGTTAAGTGCTGTGGCATACCAGTGCCCACCAGCTCGGCCATCCAAATCTCGTCAAGCGATTCCTCAATTGTTGTTAGCAGTGCCTGATATTCGCGCTGCAATGAGGCCGCCAGCGCGTCCAGTTTGCCGTCTAGTCCCAGCATCGCTTTGCATGTGTCACGCACATGTTGTTGCTGTTGTGAAATTTTCGTAACGTGGTTGTGCAGCGCATCGATGAGCGCGATGTCTTCGAAGGGGTTGCCCGGCTTTAGGCTGAGCAGCTTGCGTTCGTGCTTGCGCCGATTTTTGCTAGACCGAAATGTTTTTCTGCCAAAATAGAGACAAAAAGAAAGTGAGCCAAGCGAAATTGAAAGTGTTGCTGCCGCTGCTGCTGCTGGTTGTTGGGTGCATGAGTGCACATCGAGTTGGACTTACCCTGTGCCGCGCGAGGTGCCACTGTAGCGTGAGGAATGCATGCTGCTTGTATCGGAAAGCAAATCCACCTCTTCGATGTCATTATGAGCGCCTGGGTATTCATCGCCCGAATGCAGTGCCTGGCGCTTGCGAATGTCCAGCAATCGTTGTTTGTAGTCCGCAAAGAGCTGTTTATCGAAAATCAGCGAGCTCTGCATCTTTTCCGCATAGTTTATTAAAGCCGGTTCGACATGTTCATCTGAAAAGTGGTAATTAATAAATGCACTATTTATGTATATTCGAAGTAAACTTACCAAGTAATTCGATGCTACGCTTGGTTGGCTGCACCATGCGTGCCTCGTAAATGGCATGGAGGAAGAGATGGCCATTCAATAGCACCTCCAGCTGAGCAACAGAATCATCGCTATAAGACTTCAGCAGTTCATGGGCTTCCAAATGCCTGGTTTGCTCTTGCAACAGTGGCACCAAAGACAAAGCGACGCTCTTTATATCTTCGCCAGTGCGCTGTGCGAGCATTAGAACACGTCGCCAGTCGAGAATATGTTTGGAACTCAGCAGCGCCTGTGTTAGTTGCCCACCACGCTCATACATAATGCTAGCATTATCCAGTCGCGCGTTGGAACGCAAATGGTCCGCGTAGGCTACGCAGATTTGTCGATAGAACTCAACCTGTTCCTTATAGCATTCCAAAGCATGGGAATATAGCGCATGGCGTTTAATAAATAGGAGCGACTCTTCATAATGCGTTTCGCCACAGGCAGCCAAGTGCGTCAACGCCTTATTGTAACGTTTCAGATGCTCGTCAATCCTGAACTTGCGATAGTTCGATTCCAGAGACTTCAGCTCATTGAGATAGGGTAGAAATTCTTTGGGATCTTTTTGAGATTTCTGGGCAACAAAAAGAACTAGGCCAAAGTCGTAGGTGCCCAATGCCACATTGTAAAGGTCGTTCACATCCACCAGATAAAGCAGATACTTAAGTAGCTCTTCAGCCGCTGCATCGTTTATATTTTCATCACCCGCCTCCTGTTGCCTTTTCCGCCAAATAAGCATCAGGGCCCGCTCCAGCTGGCCCAACTTCACATAAGCCGTGATGATCGGCAGTCGGAAGTGCGCCTCTTGTTCCGGTTGTGTAGCGAGCTCCATGCGCTCACAAAGTAGCTGACATATAAACTTGAAATGCAATTCGTTTTAGTTTGTTTCGGGATTAATTTCGAGTGTATGTAGACTTACTTCCACCTTACGCTCTACGCTGTAGTTGGCTGGATATTTCTGTTTTTCAGCTTCATAATTGCTGGCATACATTCCCTTGGAAAAGTCCTCGTTCTGCAGCTCACTCAAGAACAGACATAGCCACTGGGTCTGCTTAATCTCGCGCAGAAAGATGTCCACAGAAGCCACAAACTGCTCAACATTGTGATCGCATATAATATTGAGATTAATGCGCTGCTTTCGCAACATTTCCATTGCTGCCTGGTATTTTTTCTGTTGTAAAAGGGCGCCAACTAGTTCTAAGGTAAGAACACGAGGACAAATGGCTTCCAGATTGCCACGTGGGAGCTGAAGCACCACTCGCGCCTCATTGGCTACCGTAGTGACCAGTTTGGCACCTCGCTCAATATTCCGCGAGGATACATGTCGCTTGTCGCGGAGGCGCACAAAGTGCAGTGAATTGAGCTGTGTGTAGGCCAAGTAATTGCCAGCCAGACAAAAGGAGGTAACATCCTCGTTGATGCGTTGGCCATCTATATGCAGCGATTGCTGCGAACGCAGTGTGATGAGTCCACCTAAATAGTATTGGAGGGGGAAGTCATTTTTAATGATACTAATATAAGTTGGGTATTGGGGTTTTTTACCTGTTGAATCACTAGTCAGTGTGTACCATTCGATTTGATCTGCTGGCTGCGATAACTGCACATAACTGCGCTCCACTTTTAAAGTATTATCTGGTTTTAAGGATACCTGATAGGTGTGGGCATTGTTGTACGTCTGCACAAAAAATTCATCCATAGCATTGGCGCCTACTGTTAGAGCGTTGACTGTGCCACTAATGCGCAGCGAACTCTGAACTTTATAACAGGCTGGATTTTCGTCATCCTCTTCGGGGTCGGCTTCTTTGTTGAGCAGCAGCAATCGCGTACTGTTGCCTACACTGTGAGTGGCCAGTAGATAGTCACAATTGAAATATGTTAAGTTGGACAACTGGATTTGCGACAGTTCCGGATCAGGTGTGAGTAGCACAGGCAAGGGCTCCCTATTCAGGCCCTGCATGGGCTCGTAGAACAAGTGAAGCTGGCGATCGCAAGTGTACACACAAAGACTGGCCTCATACCAAGTAAAGGCATTTATGTAGTTGTCCAACTCCAAAGCACGCTGGCACATAGGCGGCGGCACCACGGCCTTTGCGAAGTCTGTTAACAGTAGTTTCTTGCCGTCTATGACGCCTACAACTCCACTGCGCTCGTAACGATCGACAGCAAATTGCCAACGATGGATGAGCTGCTTTCCACTGGCCAATATCACGTGTAGAGTGTGCTCTGCGCCTAGACGTGTGTCCCACTGCAGCAGAACAAGTGGGTCGTCGGGCTCATATGTCAACACCTGTTTCAAATACCAATGATAGTTGCCTATTGTATAGAGATATATGCGTTGGGCCTCCGGTGTTTTAGTTTGCAGAGCCAAAATGTCAGAGTCAGCACTCCACCGCATCTGCTGAATTGGTTCCTGCTGCAGATCAAAGGGGAGCGTGAAATCGCGATGCCGCAGACCATTCTTCTCAAATAGCGCCACCGTGGACTTGTTGGGAAAGAGCTGAGGCAGCGCAATCCAATTGCCGACAGGCCTCCAGGCAATTACTGGCTGAAGCGCATTGCACTTTTCGGCCGAGTGCTGCAGCTTTCCTTCGCAATCGTAGACCTTAAATGTACGACCTTGACTGGCTGACACGAAGGACACTGTAAAAAAGGCGCCATCGCCGCGCCACGATATATGCACATCCTAGAAAGACCGACTGATGTGAGAACAGACTTATTTAATGGCTTTATGACTCACCTGCGGCAACTCCTCCATATTTTGGGGCGCTTGGAAATCATGTGGTTGCTTTGCAGCTTCTTTGCCCGCTTTCCCGTGAAACTGCGTTTCTTTCTTTCCCCAGCCAACATTAACAAATTGCTGATCACTTGTCAGTTCCGCTTCCAGCGGCTCTTCGCCTATTACTTCATAAGTGCAGGTCATCACCACAACTTTATATGTTTTGGTTATAAAGGCCACAACCTCCTGATTGGGAGACCAAGCCATGCTCTCAATTCCCACATCACAAAAGGTTCCCTCGACTGCGGCATAATTATCGGTATTTATGAGCATCACTTCGCCCGCTCCGGTGGCTACACAAATGCTGTTGTCCAGCTGCAAATATTCCGCGCTCACAATGTCGGGTAACTCGGCAATTACTTTCGGCGCTATTTCGGCATCGTTCCATAAGTAAATCCGACAGTCGGTGACTAGGTAAGTGATTTCGGCGCCATCGCGACTATTTTCTGGCTGCAGAAGGAGTTGCTTAGCTTGCGTCACCTCTGTAGCCAACTCCTTGCAATATCGCAGCTTGAGATTACGCATTTTATGTTAAATTAAATTAGAAATCTCTTCATCTAAAAATGCAATGCGCGGTTGTGAAGTTGTTAGTTGGAAGAAGAAGAGTTTCAAACAACATCGACCATGTGACAAACAGCTGATTAGCGTGAAATAGTTCGATTAACAGCTTAACTTACCAACTTTAATTGCCATCGCAATTATATTACATAGCATAATTATTAATTAAATGAATATTTCCATTAAAAATAGGAATTGCAGTCTGCTCCATTTCCTAGTACTTTGCAGCCCTGGAAAACAATCGATTGTCCCAGCTCTCTAACAAAACCTGCTAGATACACGAAGTTATTTTTGGTATCAGCCCTTCGATTGCTATCGATTACATGATGTCAGAAGCTGCTTGGTGCAAACACGAACGCAAAGCCATCTTTATTTCTCCATTAAATAAAAATAAAACATTCTGTCGAAACCACGGTTATGTGCATTGAAATGTTTCGCAAAATGCAGTGAATAATGCATCTGTGCTCAATAATATTAATGCAAGCGCGGAGATGAGTGCGTTAAGTAAGAATACACGCGATGAAAATTTGAGCCAACAGTAGTCAAATAGTGAGGGGCAAGCGCGACGTGTGTATGTAGAAGATTCCACAAAACCAGCAGCAATAAATAAGAAAAAAATACGTATATGGTGGAAAGGCTACAAGCATGCGAGTGTGTGCGAGTGTGTGATGTGTCTGTGCAGTGTGCATATGTTTATAAATAATTTATAATATTGAAATAAAATGTGCAACTGTCCCCCCACTGCTTGATGCGCCCAGGCCCAGCGTTGCCGTCGGCCATCGTCGTCGTCGTCAGCAGCAGAAGCGGTAGCTGTAGCTGCGTTGGAGAAGCCAAGAGGAATAAGAATCAGGTAAAATCTAGACAAAATAGCGCATCTACAAGATGTAAATTTAAAATATTGTGTGTGCGATGAGAGCAGACCCCAAAAGCAGCTGGGCCGTGACGTTTTTCCGTGACAGTCGAAGAGACGGAAACTGCCCAACGCCCTTTTAAGCGTCGCGCTGTCTGCCTACATACGTGCGTATGTCCTCTTTGAGTGTGTGTTTATGTGTGTGGGTGAAAGTGAGGAAAGTTTGCGCAAAAAGGATAACGCAATTAAGGAAGCTGGTTGCTATTTGTATTTAACGAGCGATGCCAATAAGAGGCAGCATAGTGGAAAGACAGGAACATTGTATGTAACAGGCAGAAGGAGGCGTGGCAGTTTTGTGTCCGTCCGGAATGACACCACTAATTTTTTGCTAGGGACACCAAGCTTTTCAGTCTTCTGTTTATAAAGACATACTTGTGATTTGAAGTTGAAGGACTTGGGCAGAGGGAGGGCCTGGTAAAGTGTCAGGAGTTAGTCTCTTTGACGTTATGCTCTATTTTGTCTGTGAGTTTGCTGAGCATTCCTGGCACATTTTTGCAATATATTTATATGTATGCATGTGTGTACACGTATACGTACCATACTTATGTATGTATTTGCGTCATTAAAATGTTTGCATAATATTTAGGCACACACACTTAGAAGGCTCAGACTATAACAATTGCGTAAATCTTTCATCAATATGTTTTTATTTTTGTTTTTGTGGTGTTGCCAAAAAAAGCAAAAGTGGAAAAAATTCAATAATATATGGGCAACATTTATAAATATCAATGCAACTGCGAAACACGCACACACACATACATATGTTCAAGTGTTTTCATATGTATGCACATACATACATATACATATGTACGACATATGTATGTATGTACATATGTGTATCTGCGGTCGAGTTGGTTTTGCTGTTGTTGCTGCTGCAAGTTTCCACCGCACTTTTTTGGGTCAACCAACCGTACAGCGTGGACTGCAGCATCTTCATTTTGTTGTTGCTGTTAATGCTTTGTCGCGGTTGGTAAAGTGAAAATCGCATAAATAATTAGCCACAAGGAATCCCATTGATGGATATGGAACCAACTAATGAAAATAAAAGCTTAGTAGCACATTTTTAAAGTGCAGGCATTTTATGTTGTTGTCTGAGGTCAACTGGTTTGAACAAAAAAATTAATAATGCCATATTTGACTGAAAAATACACATTAAACGAAAGCAAAAAAAACAACAACAAACTACGCATATTTTTGTTCAATAACATAAAAACAAAACACGTTTTACAACTCTAGTTATTGTTGTTGCTGCGTCTAGTGGCTTTGATTTTTGCTTATTGTGAATACGCAAACGAACACATATACACATATGTATAGCCTATGAATGACCAAATATGCGTACGCAGCTTCCCCACAATAACAACAACAACAACAGCGAGAGCGACAACAATAATTAACGGCAATAAACGAAGCGTAGCACCGCATTCGTAGTTTGAACATATCTCCATACATACACACATAGATACCCATGATGTGTGTATATATATACGTATATGTGTATTGTATAGTATGTACAGTAGTAGTTGTAGTAATAGTAAACATATATTGTTGTTGTTTTTGGCCAGTTGAGAAGTGGACATCGAGCCGATTTGGTCGAAATGTTCGTGCGCTGACGTCACATATAGGCGCAACCCGAGCGCCATACATAAAGCTTTTCTCTGTTTCTGCATTACAAAATACGACGCCACCATGTGGGCGTGGGCGCTTCTTAATGTGTCTATGTGTGTGTACATATGTGTGTATGTATCTGTTTGTATTTGTCTATCTACTTGTGCGTGAGGTCAGTATTGCGTGAACTTTTTTGCGCTGGTCATTTTACTACGAACTTACAACGAACGCCCACTCATTGCGCACTTTTCTTCATGCGCCCATTATACCATTATACCCACAAGGTAAGACGTTATTATAAAATCGTTCAGTTTTGCTAATAACTGGTAGATAGGTAGATATTGATCTGTAATACGGTGTAGCTATGTCCGTCCGTCTGTTTCTATTAACCTAAGGATCTCCGAAAGCATTGAAGCTTTTTGCTTAGTTCGAAATTGGACCCTTCATTTATCCCCATCCGTGACTTTGGTATTTTGCAGCCAAACTGAACAATCTGCATATTATCCTATAAATTCTAAAATGTTATCGTTTTGACAATTTTTAGCAAGTTGTGAACTCGATCTAATGATATCTTAGAATTAAATGTTTCAGAAAAATCAGTGTATATGTTGAAAGCGAAATTATACTCATTACTTGCTTACTTTATTTCCCATCCGCTTAGGACTGTCAGGTTCCAAGCTTATCGCATATAGACAGCTATACACATGCAATCTGCGAACTTAATTGCATTTAATCAGAGTACCCCTAACGACATTAATTCACAAAAAATAAAATCAACAATATAATAAACGAAAAAACAAACGTTATCTCTTATTGCGTTATTTTCTTTATCTTTTTAATCAATGCTGAGTGCTGTGCGGGTTTTACTCGGGCCGCCCATTTACAATACCTGTCGCTGTGGCTGGGGCGTGGCCGTTCCGTCATTGCGCGCAGGTGATATTCTCGTACTCATACAAGTACAAAGGGAAGCAAAACACGCGCACTTACACATGCAAGTGAACCTTTGTATGGATTTTTCCGTGCTTTTTGCCATTTTGCATTTTCAATTTATTTGTTTATGGTGGTCCGTGCAAAATCGTTTGACCTGGGCATCTCACTGGGAGTAACTCGTACATTCGTATTTGTTTATTCGGTTTTATTTGTTTGTTTATTTAATTTTGCACACATTTTGCGTGCCGTTCGCTCGCTTGTTGGCTCTTTGTGCTCTGCTATTTTTAGCAGCTATTTTTTTTTTAAATGTAACGCAAAAGGAGGAAAAGTCTGGCTGTGCGTTTCACAAATGCCTTTGTGTGAGTTTGTTTGCCCCTCGAAATGGCTCTGCTTGCTTGTTTTGTTCTGCTTCTTTTTATTGCCACTCATACTCGTTTTTACGCGCCCTTTCGTTGCTGCTACATTCCGTTACGAATTCCGTGCCACATCCTGCAAGCTTGTGACGTCAGCATTGTTGTTATAAGATGACAAACAGAACACACTGGAATATGGACTCTTTCGCCAAATGCTTCGACATACACAAATAATGTCCATCAATGAGCTGAGCATTCCTTGAATTCTTTTGCATGCTCGAAACACTAAAAAGAAAAACTCAACCCACATTTCCTGCTACTCTTACGTACATACAACATACATATATGTATGATGGACCCCCTTTCACTCTTTTAACACCTCGAATTTCTACAGCAGAGTATTGTGTTTTCACTATTCCTAGTAACGTGATAATGGAGTTGCCATTGCGACTTCGCCATCATTCATTAATGCAGCAGCATTCCAGCTAATTAATAATGCCTTAAACATTAACTGGGGGTTCGTTGTGTACGGAGTATATTGTTTGTTTGGGGAAGGGGGAGCGAGGAATATGTTTCATGGATACATGTGCTAATTGTGTTGTCTGAAATATGCGAAATGCCAAGCGAAAAATTGCAAAATATCACGAACCAGCGAACGTTTTTTATGCTTGTGTGTATGTATATCGACAACAGTAAACACACAATAAACATTTGATGTCTAAATTTTTTGAGGCAACAACAACGATAATAATAAAAGCAACTACTGCCATACCATCACACAATATGTATCCATTTCATGGGCCAAATGTAAACATGCAAAACTAAAAGACACAATAAAACAACTACAATTTGCCTTTCAACGCTGTCTGATTGGGAATGAGAAAAAAGGAATTAATTAACATTGCCAACGGCGAACAATTAGACTAAATAAAAAGATACAACAATACTTACAAATGTTGTTTCTGCTCGGCTTGTGAAGAAAACTTGCCATATGTTGAATCGCAGTACGAAAATGGTTGCAATGCAATCAATGCATTCATATGTAGTATGTATGTACATACAAGTAGATGGTATTTGTCAAAGCTTCAGCTTGAAAGCTCTATGATAGGATCGGTGAGTTTCTGTGTTAATGCAGCCCAGTTTAAGATACAGTTTCGGCTTTCAGCCGTTATGTATCTGTATGCAACCGTGTTCTACCGGCTAAAATTGCCGCAAACTGGCTTCAATATGTTGCCCATAAAAATATGGTTAGACCACAAGCAATCTTGAAGAGCCAAAACGAGCCATAGAAATTAAGCAACTTTGGCTTTGCCGATTTGAATGAATTCTTTTGCAATTTAATATAAAAACTTAATATAAATACAGAAAGATGGCAAAATTGTGGCGTTATTAATAAATATTTGTGGTATTCCTGCAATTACTATAAATGTATAGCATTTTAAATGGAAACTATTGTGAATGGCTACATTTTATAGCATGCGAGAAAAAAATCACGTTACCTATACGTGTAAGCCGGCATGGTACAAATACATGCAAAGCGCAACTTGTAGCTCTCAAAACATATAAAACCGGCTCTCTTTCTCTCCCTTTCTCTCTCAGTATGAGTCACGCTCTTTGCCGCTTAAACTTCACAAGCTTGGTGCAAGCACTTTTCAGTTTCGAACGTGACTGCAAAACGTGCGGTACTATGTCGGAGAAGAAGCAGAGTTAAAGAAAAAGCACCCTGCGCATGCGCAACGTACGAGTACATATTTCGCGTGTGGATTGCAATCGCAATGTTTGTAATTGTAATAAATAATTACGTTAATTAAACAATCCATATGCAAATCAATAAAAAATATTTAAAATCATCGCCCAGCATTAGGAAATATAAATTCGTATTGCAATAAACGTGTAAATGACGGCGAATTGTGTAATCTTTTTGGCAAATGATGATAACTTGTAATAATTTATTATACATATGAAAGATTGGCATGCTTTTTATTGTCTGTGTGCTGCCTCAAGGAAGTGAATGATGAAAATGAATTTCAAATTAAAATATGTTTGTTCACGATGTAGAAGTATCTGTTAGCGAAAGCAACGAACTAACAGTTTCCTACTGCAAACGACAATTGTGAAATGTATCTACAAAAATTTGCATGTTTTCATATATTGTGTGAACTTGTCTTGATGGCGCAATGACGTTTTTGGGCGCTTTGTCGCGCCATAGTTACAGTTAAGGATAACCAATTTTGTCTTTTTGGCGTAACAAATCACAAACAAATGAGGAGCTCAAAATAAATCAACATTTAACAAATAATATAGAGATTTGTCTCTCCATACACGAAGCTATCGAGATGAAATTTTGCTTTAAATCCTATTGCTTTAGCAATTGCTACATTAGGAAAAATAGCTATCAAAATTGTTTCCCCATCATTAACATTTCCCTGCATAAATTGGCCAGCACGAATGATTTGAAAATAAACTAAAGCAGGACCGCTAGAAGAAACCCACTCCTACCAACTGCAGTGGAAAATTGCATGAGTCATTAGGTTTACTCAATTGATTTTGAACGCTAATTTGGTCGACGTGCAGACATTTTTAACTTAGAAAAAATACAACAAGAAAAAAAAAACAAAAGTGCCAACTTAGAGCAAACTAGCAAAACCATTTGCAATTTTCCAGCGCATTAGTCATCGGACCGTGCGTCCCACTCTAAACGTTGAATGCGCCGCTTTTCCATCAACTCCAGAAACTAAATATAACTAGTTTTCCCTGTCGTGAGTCGTCGCTACCTCTGAGTATCTATCTGGACTAACTGTCGCGCAATTTTCAGTCAATGGCGTGCAAAATTCGCGAGAGTCGCGGTCTGTTGTGATCTCAGGCGGTAAAACTAATCCATAAAATATCATCCTGAGAGGTGCAATTGGAGCCGCGGCCACGTCGAGTGAAAGTGGACAAGACGCGGCACCGAAAATACAACAACGAAAACGCATTCAATTACAAAGAGACTTTAGTTGAAGCGCGTGAAACAATTTTTTATGTTTTATTAACTGTACATAGGTTTTTTTCTTAAAATAGTAATTGTGTTTTCCACCACTTATTCAATTTACCATTCACTGCACACGACGGAGTCTCCACTTTGCCAACCATCTAGGCAGTCAGCCAACCTGGCAAAGAAGTCAGCCCAAGAGCCAATGGCGCATTCAATTTTTCAATTGCGCATGCGCGCATCTTTTTAAAAATAAAAAATGTTTATTTTTTTATTTCTCTGTTTAAGTGTCTTTGGCGCCTTCTTTTGAGCTCGTAATTGTTGTTGTTGTATTTGTATGCATGCCAGCACCTAACAAAGTTAAGATTTAAATTATTAATTAATTTTAAACAAGCCGGCGGCGACGCTCCTTGCATGGCCAATGCGTTAAAGAAACAGAAACCAAAACAATAAACTTTCACTGCGTGCTTGCCGAAAAACTAACTACATGTGAACAGACATACGAGTACGTAACGATGTATGTCCGAACGTATGTGGCATGTGCAACTCACTCACTTACATATATGTACATATGTTTGTATGTAGCTTGAGGATATGCAACCTGCCCAGCCTCTTACTCTCATAGTTAGCTCCCGACTTTGGTATTGCCTCATCAGACTTTCTGTTTCTGTTTACGCTCATATGTGTGTTGTTTATTATCATTGCCACTCTGTCTTACTTAATTTTTATGCGAACTTTAACAATATCTTGAATTTTATTTTGTTTTCGCTTTTCATTTTGCATTTTGTCGTGATATTGTTTATGATACAAACACACACAAACAAACAATAATAAAAAGAGCACAACAAAAACCTGTTGTGTCATATTTTTGTTTTTGTCTTTCTATCGCTCTTGCTGTTGTTGCCGCTGTCGTTGCTGGTTTTCTTAATTAGGTTTTGTCATTTGCATTTTCCAAAAAATTGGTGTTGGCCAGCAGCTCCAACGGAATTGTCTCTGTCAGACTTTTTTCTTCTGGGCAGCAGGTCGAACGCCCAGAGAATTTTGTTGTACTTTTTAAGTTGCGCGTGCACTTTTATGGGTCATGACATTTGGGTCTTGATATGCAGTCACTTTCCATGTGCCCAATTCTGGAGCTGCACATTTGCATATTAAATTGAATAGATATTTATTCCACTAGAAGTTCAGGTGAACTGTAGTTGGCGAGGGTGTCGCGTAAGCTAATTATTTGGCATTTATTAGAAAGTGAATATATATACAAGTATATTTTTGTTTGGTTGTTGAAGCAACCATTTTTATTTAGGAACCCAAAAAGTGATAGTAGTTTTTATAAAGTTTTAGGCCTTTAATTAAATAAAATAGGTATTATTTTTTTCAATTATTTGTGCCCGGACTATTTAACATCCATATGTACATGTTTTAATACAAAGCAGTAAATATTCGTATGTACATTTTTTAATACAAATCTTTATTTTCGCTTTTAAAGTAGGCTCTTTTTAAGCTAATACAAGCATAGTTAGCAAGTTCTTAAGCCCAATTTTTCGTTCACTTGTTATAGGCCTCGACCAGGATCGCCTGTTACTGTGTTAAGTCGATCTCAACACTACGATTTTCGAGCTAAATTTAGTTGATTTTTCCAATATTACGACCTCACGACCCCCCGGAACTCTTTATGCCACTGAATTGCGTACTTGATAGAGTAAACTACCCAAAATGCTTTTGCAACATTTACCAACTCGCTGTTAAATTTATTTTCCATTGTAAAAATCACCAGACGGACTTTTCGCGTCGTAAACAAAGAGCTGCCAAACACACGCTAATTGATATATCCCGATCAAACTTCACACTAACGTGAAAGTAGGTGTTAATACCCTAAGACAGAAATATTTTGCGCTTCGCTCACGGTTTAAATGGCCAGTACGAGTCAAAAGTAAAAGGCAAAATTTAGCTAAATATTTTCAAATTTTTATTAAACATTTTGTTGAATGTTTAATAAAAAGTAATGGAAATAATAATGGAAATTTTACTAATTAATAACAAATGTTCGATATCAAATATAAATTAATTTAAATTATCAAATATGTGTCTATCTAGAAGGAAACATGTTGAATTTCATCTTTCTGGTAGTAAATTCATTCATGCTGTTCGGCTGGGTAGACTTTTCAACCTGTCTTTCATATTTTTTTTATCAATCTCACATCTCATCTCAACTCTATGTACATTGCTTTGCTTTGCATTTCTAAATCTCTCATGTTAACATCTTTATCTGCACATTGTTCACAACGCACCCAACATTATCATTTCACGTACTTATGTGAGTATCTAAAAGCACGTACTTTCCCGTACCAACCCACACAGAAATACATACATACATTAACGTGTTTATATACTGCTCGTCTTCTACCTGTCTTGAATAAAATGTAACAACATTAGCAGAAGCAGCAGCACCAGCAAGAGTGAGTGCATTCCCACGCCCAAATTATTTGCACAATATGTACCCACAATTCCAGTAAATTCCAATTCAATTCAACCGCCAGAGTCTGCCCGAGTTTTTGCCCCATGCAGTTCGTGTTTTCCCAACCCACAAAAAACAATAACACAATAAATGAAAGAGCTTTACAATTTACGTATCTATGTGTGTGTGCTTGTATGTGTGTGTTTCCCTCCACAGGTCTGCTGAGTTGGCTCGAAGGCTTAACTGAATAACAGTTAATGTGGCAAAATTGAGTTGTAGAAAATGTCAAAAATGCGAAACGGCTACGTCCCCCGCCCAGTCCCGCCCGGCGCCGCTGTCATGCCAGCAACTCTTGAGCTTGCCAACAGTTAGTTATTGCTCCTGCCCCCCTCCCGGCAGCACGGCAGCACTCCATGAAGTGACTTGGCTGACAAATTTGGAGCAGCGATGCTTTGTCATCGTCATTATCATTATCCGCAAGCTCTTTTCAAATCAACTCAATTTCAGTTTGCTATTATTTTTGCTTGAATTTTCTCCATAGAAATTTTTTCTATTGCTCTTACTGCTTCTCCTGCGACTGCGACTGCTATTGCTATTGGTATTATCATTATTTGTGTAGTTGCCATTATTGCTTGGTTCTCTTCTTCTCTATTGATTTTTATGGCTGAATGTGTATCTGCTCACCCGCCTTTCAGATCTCGATGTCCGTCGAAAATTGAAGTGCAAAAACTTTAATTAGTGTTATTACAAAAGAAAACAATTTCCAGTGCATTGTTTGTGGCATTAGCCTCAATTTGGCCGGTGTGGCAAGGCAAGGCAGGGCAGGGCAGGGCAGATCATAATATGAGTATATAATGGCAAGAAGACTGTTAGTGGGTCATCATCATCGTTGATGCGATTCTTAAAGCATTCATTAGAACTGGTCCGACATTGCTTCGAATGGAAGCCATTATCCTGTGAGACAGGGTAATTGAATGTTATTATCAGTATTCATAGCTGAAGTGATTTTAAAATAAATATTTGATATGCTAAATACATGATAGATGCTTTTGCGTCATTGCGCCATCAAGAGAAGTAATTGTTGTGTCCTACTAAGTATATGTATGTATTATCGAACCAGTGTTGAAAAGTGAACTTGTAATTACATCACATAACCGCGGGCTAAATAACTGTAGACTATGCCTCGCCCCGTGCGCCTCCGTGTAACATGGTGACAACAATTAAGATAACCTGCGATGGCGTGTTCATCCAATCGAATTCCTATCTTACGCCCACCATTTCGACCTCGGCAGCAACAACAACAACAGCAACAAGAACTTCCGAACGTGACAAATCCGCGGGTACTACATTGAGCAGCTATTTAAGCGACAATTCTCAGGGGATCGGAAGCGGCAGTGGCAGTGGCAGCGGCAGTGGCAGCGGGAGTGGCAACAGCGTGGGCGGCAACAACAAAAAGCTGATGCAAAACAAGCCACGACACATAAACGATACACGCAAACGTTATTACTTTGGCAGCAAGGATATTTATTGGTGCAAACAGAGTCTCAGCCAGCCGCCAAGTGGCAAGGTGGTCTCACGCAGCGCCAGCACTTTGACTCACAAAGAACTCAGGGCCAATAGCAACGGCCAGCAGAGTAGCAACAAGCAGCGGCGAAAGCCGCAGCTCCTCTCCAGCAGTCTAAGTGCTGCGTATGTCCCCGCCTCTACGCAGCGCAAAGAGTTTTACTTTTGTGATAAGTACGCGCCACAGTCAAGTGGCAACCACCACGGCATAGTCAAGGCCTCTTCTGGCCAACCAATGCCTCTGCCCATTGATGCTCGCCTTCTGAACTTTTTGCGCACAGCTCAGCGTAAATTTCAGCGTGCCAGCAACAATAACAATAATAATAACAACAACAACGGCATCGTAGATTTTCAAACAAAACCAAAACCAAAGCGCGGCACTCAACAGCAGCATAACAAAACCAAAGACATAACGCAACTACAAAGTAAACCCAACTCCAGCTCCTCGTTGCCGCCCATCATTATCAGCACCGACGATTGGTTCGGTTAGTATGCAAAATTCGTTTACAGTTAAGTGCCGATACAGCTACCAAAAAACCAAACCAAAAAAAAAAAAAAACAGCAATTAAACCTGTAACTGCAACGACCCACAGGCAGACAACCCTGCCCTCAATTGTTGGCAACACTGTCGTCGTCAATGTTGCAACTTGCAAATGTATGTTTTCATTTTTACGAGTACGTTTGGTCTGTCAACATTTTGCATATTGAGTTACAAGTAAAAAAAAAACCATATCTATTCGAATCTATGTAGATAGAGTTTCCCTTAAGATTTGCAAAATGTTGCAGGTCGTCAAAACGTTCAAACGAGATCATGAATTTCAGATTTATTGGGTTTGATATCACTTTATTGGTTTCGGTTGATTTTTCAACTCTTTCAGGAAAACAATTTTAATGATTTCAGTGGATTGTCTTTCTTTTAAGTCTTATGCATCTAGTCAGGACACAAATCTTGGTGTGCGTTAAATACTAGAAATGTACCCAAAACATTGGATGATCCGAAAATTTTAGTAGTTTATAATACTATAGGTTTAGACGAACAACACATTTTCTGTATCTTGCTTTTTAGAATGAAGCTCTTTTAGAAATGATAATTCTCACTTAGAAACGTAGATTCTTTGCTTTGCACAAAGCTACTACACTTTGTTTACCTTGAGTTTTTGTTTTTCCTGTAATGGAAAAAAAAGTTATAATTTTAGTCAGATATCGGTCCAACAGAGGCATACCAAAAGCTGTGCAGCCACCGAACGGACTGAATGTTGGGATGTGAATTGAAATATGAAAGTGGTAGGAACTTGAAAAAGTTGCACACGATCAAGAAAGGAGAATAGAAGAGTGGAAGAAGGAAGGAATAAGAGTTAAATACCAATAGTGGTAACGAGTACGTGAGAATCTTTTGTATTGCTTCCTCATTGTGTGAGACAAGGAAGAACAGAAAAACATGTAAATATACGTCACACGAGCACACACACGGACACCGGACACGCAGACACATACTCAATACAATTTCCAGCACATTGTGTGCAAAACTCAGTCAACAGTTCTTCCCCATACCCTACAGTCTTCATCATCATTATCGTCATCATCCTCGTAGTTTCGAGCTGGAAAGTGTAAAATTGCACTGACATTTCAGCAAGCGAGCGAATGCGAAAAAATGAAAAAACGAAAAAAAAGAAAGAAAGAAAGGTAACTTTAGTCAGTTAGTCTGTCAGGAGGGCGCTGGCTGCCAGTCACTGTGGTGGTGGCTAGGCCCAAACAAAAGCCATGAATGGAACGACACCGACACGGACGCTGACTACCATGAATGGAACGAAGCTATGGTCACATGCTGATGACGAAGAGACTTGCTCCGTTGGCTTTCGGCAGCGGTGTGTTGTAAAATTTGCATATCGCATGTGAGCGAGCGCAGGAAAACCGCAAACGGACGGACAGACACAATGCTCCTCACCTCTTCTGTCTGCGCGTGTCTCGTGTGAGAGAGTGCGCGAGTTCAGGAAGAAGGAAACCTAAGCACAGACATGGGGAAAACTATACTAATTACAGTGGCTAGCTGGCTATCGTGTGTTCAGGCCATAAACTTGGCTGCCAGTCAGAAAGGCAGAAAGGGACGCTACAATGGGTGATGGGACGGCAGCAGCAACAGCAGCAGTTGATTGCTGAATGGGTTGGGAATGTTGGTGCTGTTGACCCTGAATTGGTGCAGGAGAGTGGCAGTGAGGGCCATCGTGTAGTTAGATAGTCAGCCATGCACACAGAAGGACTATTATTTGCAGAACGCTCTCGAACTGTCTACGTACATTAACCGTTGAGATCTCGTGCTGAGGTGTGTGAATCTAAAGTGTGAGCATTAATTTTTATGTAGAGCTGCAGTATTTCGAATAGCTCTGGGGAAACCTTAAATTACAGTGCATTATATACAATATGTATGATCCTACATGGATTGTCTAAATACCTTATTAGCTGATCTAAAATTTGTTAATGAAATATTCTGGCTTAGGTACTCAGAATGTATTTAACTAAACTGGGAAAGGAATATTCTATTTTTAAAGAATTTTAAGATCCATCCTATGTATTTAGAAAAGCCCAAGCCATCAGACTGTTGAAAGTAGTAGGGAGTATTTATATTATCTACACAAAAGAACTGTCGATTGTAGAACAGGAAGAAACGCTCCCCATATGCTTATTAATTATATGGTTATTGTAAAGACAGCCCATACCAATGCCGCAATATATTACCTCATCCGTCTAAATAGCTCATCTAATTAAATAAATATATGTACTATATTGCGCATTTGGCGGAACACCCTCCAATAAGTAAATATCGCATGTACATGCGAGTTGGTTTAGTGCATAACAAAAGCATTATTTATAGTAATATATATGCATACACAAATCAAATGACAATTACCCAATGAATCATTCAGTTTTACGATGCGTGTGTGGCTTTTAAATACTTTGTTTTGTTTGGTTTCGTTTTTTGCACCCTTCAGTGCTTCTTATGTCCGGCACATCATTGTCAGTAATTTATGAATATGTTTATGATTATTACTTACATTTCAATTGATAATTTTTAATTTTAAATATCCGACCGACTGGCTTATCTGCCTGACAATTGGATTTGCTTTGTTCATTTTTTTTTTGAGCGGCTAATAAATATTGAAAACCATTTCGCACTTGCCTCAATTACACTTCGTTTTTACGTTCACGCAAACGAGCAGCTCTCCTGCTATTTGCCGTATTTGCTTAACAGTTGTGTGTTGATGCAACAAATGGCACAGACAAGTACCATAAAAATAACCAGCACCTTGCAATACATACGACTATGTAGACGTATGTATGTATAGTACATAGTTATTATTACTTACTTGTTGTAATGCGTTTTTCGCCAAGTTGGACTTCACATTTTGTTGTTGCTTGCTAGCCACGTTATTAATTACTGTTTTAATTGTTCAACAATTTGTTGTTGCACCCTTTTGCGCAATCGTTTCGTGGGCATGTTTTGCAAGAATCGCGGCTGCTTCTGTTTCAATTTGTTTACATTTCGTGCTCGCGTGGCCAAAACAAAAATTGGGCAGGTGGCTAAATATTTGGCAACACCTGTCGAGAAGTCAGTCGATACTCGTAATTGTAATCAACGGCGACAAACAATGCGAATTTGCGTGCCTGTAATAAATGTAATGATATTAAATGATCATTAAATTGATCACCTCGAATGGCGTTTATTTGTCAATAAAAATAGGAAAATAAAAACAAATTAATTTGCTATCCATATGTGGGGTTATAGTCTCTGACTAATCGACCCTCAATATTTACACTGAACTGAGTGTGGAGTCATCGCCATTCAGTATCCGTTCTGTTGGTCGGCTGAGTGGGTCGCATGGTGAGAATCTTATGACATGTGCAGGCAGGCGTTAACTTGTAAATACTATGGCACACACGCATACACACACACAGCGTACACACTTAGTATAAACAATGAGTGACTTGCTTGCTCGTCATCATTACGGGCTTGAGTGTTCAGTGTGAGTCATGAAGGCAAGGCCTGATCATTATTACTGACATAAACTGCGTAAAATATGCGGGAACGAGATCTCTTCCTCTCTCAGTAGAGTAATCCCCACCACCCGCTGATTCCTGCACAATGTCAAGGTCACACATCAATTAGCTTGAGATCCCATCGGGCAAAGCGCAGCTCAAATGGACAAAGCAATAAGATTCTTAAATGCTTGTCAATTTATTTAAAAATCGAAAGCATGCATATCGTAAGTAACTATGAGTAATGCTCCAGACACATATACATGCATACATATACATTTGTATGTACTAAATGTCGATAGCTGTTTGTTATTTTCAACTCCAGACAAACAACTCAGATACATTTCATAAATACTATATATAGCGTGACTGTAAAATTTGCCAGTCAGGAAGCCATAATGATCAAATAACGCATTGCAATTTTTATTCAAAGCTTTTTTGGAGAGTCATGATCGAATAATTTGTTTGTTAATCGTAACTGCCTCATTGTCTCTTGGCCATAATTGCAACTGCATGAGTTTGTACAATAATCGCATGCGGATGTGGCTCATAAACAATAAACTGTAGCAGCAATGAAAGGTCTCTTTTTTTTTTTAATTTGGCAAGTGTCGCATACAAGGCCGCACACATAATGCAAGCAACATTTAATTAGCCCCCTGCGCTCCATCAATCCCAAAAAAAAAGAGCCCACATAAAACTCCCACGATAAATCTTCGTACAAAGCACCCAACAACAACAACAAAAATGCTAGAATGGCAGCAGCAGCCGCCACATCGGCTCTAAATGAAAATTGAGTATGCAAAAAACGTTTCCGTAATACCCAAAAAAATATTCGCTTAATCAAATTTACATAAAATTAAGAAATTAAACAGCGTACAAAGTGAGTTTTGTGTGCGCACTTAAAACGAAGCCCGAAAAATAAAAAAAAACATCATGCTTAGGGGCAAGGCAGCCGGAAAAATCTCAAATGATTAAAACATTAAGTTGACTAAGCAGAATTCCATTCCGTGCGACTCCAGTTCGTTAGTAGGCGAATCAAAGCTAGCCTAACAAGCGGGCAGAGTGAGTAACAGCCATGCCCCCTGCCCCCTGTCCCCGCTCCTCCTTCCAGGCAAGCCGTTAGCGAATTTCCGCTCTAGCTTTATGCTGCTTAACGCTTAGCTTTTGAGTTATGTTTGTATGTGTGGGAATATTTATAGCGGGTCACCAATTTGTACTCGGCGCCTAGAGAATTTTAATTGGCCTCAGCCCAAGCAAGGCAGGTAAACATCAACTGAATCATCATTGTGCTCGTCATGCAAATAGCCAAATTTGTGTAGCTTGTAAGATACATTTACACACACACACACACACCCATATATTTGCATATATGCTGCATATGTTTGTTGTGTTTTTATTTAAAAAGCCAGTAGTTGCTACCAAATTGCGCAGTAAAACTTTTAACTATGCGTGTCACACAATTTTAAATGTAAAACATTTTGCGAATGTATCTCTCATAGAGTATTGGAACCGCAGCAGTTACACTGCAAAAAATGAAATGGAACAATAAGATACAAGCAATAATTTAGCATACACAAATTATTTCGAAAAGAATTCCAAAAATTGCATTAAGTACTACTTAGTAAGTTGATACAGATCATTTTTTAAATGTTACGAGTGTATAGGAAATCCCAAAGCTAAAAGATTGCATGCTTAGAATGCATCCTTACCTCTGAAATTTGAAAGCTTTAGTAATGAGGCGATGATTAGATAGATATCTAAATAACAATTTAGCTGCCAAAGGATCATTTTAGGCATTCGTCAATTCTGAATTTAATGAAACAAAAGAAGAAGTATTTTTTTAAAATTCTTTTGAACCAATTAAGACATTTGAGAACGAAGAACAATATGAAACACAGACAGACCAGACCCCCTGAAACACTTGTGGCTTAATCAATTGAATCAACATTGTCTGTATGTCCACGATTTTCTGAGTGTATGCGAAGGCGTGGGCGTACCATTGTGTGCTGACTCGCGAGTTGCGAGCTGCGAGTCGCGACCCGCGTGTGACTTTCCGAGCGTCTGAGTAAGCGGCATTTTGATTAGCATGCCGCTTAAGTGCGCACCGCAGTTGAAAAACAATTAACATTTCGAATATAAAGGTATATGTATGCCCATGTATGTATGTATTAAGTGTATCTGCTGCGTATATACGGTTGGATTTACGTAATCGCTGACAGTGGCATTTGTTCGAAGGGTGTACAGCATGCCCGATTAGACGAACGTGCATTAGATTAGGTAAATAGTGAGTTGGCCAGAGCTCTAGTGTAGAGCGCGTGGCATTTGCGATCCGATCAGCAGTGATGCAATTATCGCTGCGATGAAGCGCAACTATTTCATTCAGTTTCAAAGTAGATTAGGTCACTGTCCAAAGCGATGATTGGCGAATGCCTAAGCCGCCTGGCTTGGCAAGCTGTACAAACTGCATTGAAATTGTCAGTTCTGTGATAAACGAGCCGCTAACCTTGAGATGCGATAAACAAATTATTGCCAGCTATCTAGATATGATTAGTTATTATTGTTATTGCTCTGACCGCTGGAATATCAACAAATGCCATTATAAACGACATTTTAAATGCAATTTAAGTGCGAGTAGAATTCAATTGAAGTGAATTCAGAACTCCAATTCCACTGATTTATTGACACTTAAATAAAAAAGCTATACGAAAGAACCTTTATATATACTACCAGAAATTTCAACTTAGTTGGTTTCAACTGCTCATTCTCAATAAGTTGTCCGCTGCTGGGTGAGTGTGTGTGTTTTATATGTTTGTGGGAATTTGTGTGTTTAGATTAGATTAGCAATGATATATTAAACTTTCTAGGTATATGTATGTGTCTGTTAATTAATGAATAAATTTCACTTTTATTCGCACTTTATTACAGACGAGGAAGCTTTATTAGCAAAAGATTCCAAATCGAAGCGGAAACAAGAACAACGAAGAGTAGGGGACGAGCCAACCACCAGAGTTAGTGGCGAAGGCGATTTAATAACAGTTGAAATAAAACAGGGACTACTGAAGAATAAACAGGTGGAGGGAAGTGCGGCTTTCAAGCCGCCAAGAAAACCAGAAAGCCGGCAAGACCAAGCAGCAACTAAAACAACAACCAAACCAACCTCAGAAAGTGCGACAGCAACAACAAAAGCAATAGCAGCAGCAGCAGCATCATCACCAGTCGCTAAGAAAAGTGCGCAGAGCGACAAAAGCGATCAAATCGACGACAACACAGTTATGAACAGCCACGCGACAGCCACACAGAACGGACAAACAACAGTTGTGGGTCATCATCGTGGCTTCTCGCAGCCCTCGGTAGCAGTGGCAGCTGCAACCACAGCTGGGAGTACAGCAGGTGATCCATGGTTTCTGCAAACCACCGGGCATCAAATGCCACCAACGGCGCCGCTGCGACACAATAAAAGACCAGCTCCACAGCCGAATGCCGGCGTGGGTGTTGGCGTCGGTGTTGGTGTTGGTGTAGGCGTAGGTGGAGCAACACCACTGCTGCATCAACAACAACTGAGCCAATCGCAGCCACACATTGTGCCGCCAAACATACCGCCGCACCACCACCATCTGCATCTTCGAGAAAATAATGTGGTGAGAACTCCTCTTAGTAGAATTCCTTTTTGTTTTTCTGAAATTCCTATCATCCTTATCATCAACTATGCAATCTGAGTGTAATTTCTGAAGAGTCCAGCAAAAAAACGTTATGCAATATCAAATAAATAAATCAGTTGAAACGATCTACATACTTGTAAGTAATTGTAATTTTCACTTTTTTATATGGTCGTTCTGTCAACTTATTTAAATTTGATTTAGATTCATAAGTTACAAGTCTCACTGACTTGGCTTCTGATAAGCAGCTTGACTCTTCTTTCGCACAATTTAGAGTAATTTCTAGTCTAGTTAGACTAATGATATAAGCTATTCTCGTATTGTGTCCCTGCCGGATGATGTAAACATACATAAATATGTCATACATATTCAAAATTAAAAACTGTCAACGTAACCTTGAATTCCATTGCAGATTCATGCACTGTCAGCACACAATGCCGCTGCGGCGATACATGCGCTTAATAGTCATAATTTAATAACCAGCGCCAGTAATAATTCGCCCAAATCGCCGAATCAGACTCAGCAGCAGCAACAGCACACAATAGTCGCTGCAGCAGCTGCTGCGGCATCAACACAGCAGCAGCAACAACAGCAGCAGCAACACGGCCTTTTATCGACCTTTGCGCCCACGGTAATAGCGCCAGCTCCGACGTTGGCCGCACAACAATCGAGCAGCACACACCCACACTCACACATCCAGCAGCCAGCATCACAGCCAGTAACGGGCACTGCCGCTGCAGTTGCAGCAGTTACACAACAACAGCAGCAACAACACCTACAACTAATCTCCAATTGTGCTTCCAACACCAACAACAGCAGCAGCAGCAACAGCAACAACAATCTGATGTCGTCCTCATTGAATGCGGCACAGCTGTCGCTGTCGCATGCGCCGGAGCGTGCGTTGCCGCCGAAAAGCTTGGCACTGAGCGGCGGTCAGCACGGCAGCAACATGCTGTTGCACACAGTGGGGGCAGGAAGCGGTGGCACGCACGCACACGCCGCGCAGCCGCATTCGGGCGTCGGTGGCAGCATGTCAACATCGCTGCACAGCTTCGACATCAATGGCGGCAGCAATCCAACTGCCTCATGGTCAAGCGGCTCCACGACGGCCATGAATCTAGCCTCTCTCTCGCCCACAAATGCATTGGCCCCGCACCAGCAGCAACAGCAACATCTGCGCAAATGTGAAGTGAAACTCAATGCCATGCCGTAAGTTCAAATGCCTGCTGCAAGTCCCGTAGCCCGTAGTCTTTTCAGTACGTTTGGCCATTGATAAACATTGCTATATCTTATCAAAAAAATACAAGCCTCAGGCCATACACTGTGGTTCAACTCATGATAGCACTTGAAACAATTTATTGGAGCTTGGGGAAGTATTCTGAAAGACTGATAGAGGGTCCAAGGAGTGGGAAAGGTGGAAGATTAGACTCGACATTTTTGGGGGAGTTAAAATTGGCAACAACTTGTACATTTATTTAGAACAGATTAAATTAGAGAACACATTACTGGACTTTGGATCACTGTGCCCATCTTATCAATGAACTACGATTACCTACTCAGTATTCGTGCTCTTAAGTCGTCGCCGCAAACATGACACATAATGAGTTGCACTTGGCAGCCATTATGTTTGTGTAGGAGAAACAGCAACAAGAACAAACCAATAATCTGCACCACTCACCACTCCTTTCACTGCTTGCAGTTGGTTCCATGGCAGCATAACACGCGATGAGGCCGAGCAATTGTTGCAGCCACGTGAGGATGGACTCTTCCTGGTGCGCGAGTCAACTAATTTTCCCGGTGATTATACGCTGTGCGTTTGCTTTCAAGGCAAGGTGGAGCACTATCGTGTTAAATATTTGGAAAACAAGCTCACAATTGACGATGAGGAATACTTTGAGAATCTTGGACAACTGGTAGCGGTAAGTGATCGAATGAAATTAATAAACCTATAAGATGCTTAGTTAATAAATAACTTCACAGCACTACGAGGCGGACGCGGATGGTCTGTGCACACAGCTCATTCAATGCCTGCCCAAACTGGGCAAACAAGAGTTTTGCATTAACTCCAAAGATTTCGTGGACAAGGGTTGGGTCATACCCGAGGCGGAGCTGCAGCTGCGTGAGAGCATAGGCAAAGGTGAATTCGGAGACGTAATGTTGGGCATATTGCGCAACGATAAGGTGGCCGTCAAGATGCTGAAGGACGAGGGCGCTGTGCAAAAGTTTTTAGCCGAAGCTTCCGTCATGACGTAAGTGCTTGAGATTCAAACTGGTTCTAAGAAGACATCTTAAATCCTTTTATGTTTTCCTTGACAGCACGCTTGAGCACGAGAATTTGGTCAAGTTCATAGGTCTGGTATTTACAAGCAAACATTTGTATTTGGTTACGGAATATATGAGCAAAGGATCGCTGGTTGATTATTTGCGTTCGCGAGGACGTCAGCACATAACGAGAAAGGATCAAATCCATTTTGCCTAGTAAGAGACTGAAGCGACTGAATAAAAATAAATGAGCTCTAGTTAATCTAATTTAATATTTGTCACGAATAGCGACACTGCCTCCGGAATGGAGTATCTTGAAGCCAAAAAGGTTGTGCATCGTGATTTGGCAGCGCGCAATGTCCTCATCTCGGAGGATTGTGTGGCCAAAGTATCCGATTTTGGTTTGGCACGCGAGGAATGCTATAATCTAGATGTTGGCAAGCTGCCCATCAAATGGACAGCGCCCGAAGCGCTCAAGAATGGCGTAAGTAAAGCAGTCGCTGCCTACAAAGGTCAGTCATTTACAATGTTCGCTCTCCTGCTTTCAGCGCTTCTCCAACAAATCTGATATGTGGAGTTTTGGCATACTGCTATGGGAAATCTATTCATTTGGGCGTGTGCCCTATCCACGAATTGTAAGTCGTAGATATAGCCTGCTTCCTACACATTCTTACATTCTGAATAATGATTTGTTCTCCTTCAATTTATAGCCACTGGCTGATGTCGTGAAGCATGTAGAAGTTGGCTATAAGATGGAAGCACCGGAGGGCTGTCCCGCTGAAATTTACGAAATGATGCGACAGGCTTGGGAACTGAATCCGGCCAAGCGACCAACATTTTCTGAGCTTAAGATTAAGCTCCAGCATCTGAAAAATGCAACAGCGTGAACCAATGAGAAATATTAACTGAACTAATAATTGACCCAACTGGCGTGAAAAATTGAGTCTTGGATACAATGCACGCTGACAACGACTCCGGCTCCGACTCTGACATTGAACGCAACAATTTTTCGTATATACATACCTATATATACACATTTATAAATAATTCACTATATATATATTTACATATATATGTATTTATAAATAATTTACAGCAATTTATTTACATATATATTTGTTACAGTTTAGTTTATACCATAAGTTTTTGTAAGCCTAAGCGGAAACAACACAATCAAGTGAGGACAAGCAATGTTAGTGAGTTGCATTGGAGATACATACATACATTCATAAATACATACAAATGTGTATGGCATAACTATAAAATGAAAACATAGTTGCAATTCCCAGTTATGGAGGAATGAGAAAGAATACAGCAACTGTGTAGTTTGCTAATTATTAAAATATTGCATAATGTAAACCGTAGCTATTTATAATTTATCATGTAGTCGAAACTGTATTTCATGTAGTTTATGTGTATGTTTTCGAAAGCCTTCTGTTATGCATTACAACAAAAAATCTGTACACTTACACACACATTTCTTGCTATACTATATTTGTTTTTGTTTCTGTATATGTGAAGAATACGCATACATATGAAATTGTTTATATAATCATGTTTTTTTTTTAATTAAATGTTAAATAACAATCACATAAATATACTTCTAAAGAGCTATATTACACACATAAACTACTTTAGGCTTACAAGTTTTTATCAACTTTTGTACAATTTCTGTTAAGCTCTTCTGTTTGTAGCACAACTTGTTCAACAAGCCAATTAGTTAAATTTAGTTACATTTATTTGTATTAAAAATCAAAATTTGAAATGAAAAAAATTGGCCTATTCATTGGTCAAACAAAAACATAAATGCAGCTTTGAAGCTGCGTGTCCTTACAAAAAAATTAAAAAAGAAAAACAACCTTTTAATAATAACAGCAAGGACCGCATTCAACTTCAACACTTGTGAAAATATGCATTACATAACAAATCAATATAGATACATACTATAACTATAACATAAACTTTACAAACTTAGAGCATATGAGATGATTAATCGGATAATAATAATAACGAGTAAAACCTAACAACTACAATTAAATGATTGGATGAAATGATGTCTATGTATGTACTATATATTCATTCGAAGCTTATCGCATCGCATTCTGCCGTCTAAACGTCGTAGTTCAACTATGAATCTCTAAACTCTACACCCACACACCCCACAACCCATGCTTTAAGGCTGTCAAGCAATGCGAAGTGGCTTCAACTTGTAATTTATTATTATGCGTGTACTCGCTTGTACATTTATGTGTTTCTTTTAATTGCAATTAACACTTTTGCTTTAAACATAAGTTTTACTTTATACACAAACAATCACACGTCCACATGACATAATTATTAATTCACATAGTTATTATTTTTTTAACTTAAAGCAAACACAAAAACACAATATTGTAAAACCGACGCTATTAAAAGGCGCAAAAATTACAAAAACAAAACAAAAAACGATGCACGAACACTTCAAAATTCAAGATCTTGAAGCAGACGAGACTTTTTAATAAAAGGGAGAACATTTAATTATTTTGTTTTCATTATTATGTTGTATTATGATTTATTTACAATAGCAGTCAACAAATTTGAAACAGTTGGAAAATATATACTATTATTTATCAAACTCGGTTAGGATATGTGATAGCAGCTATTCACACTTATATATAAATCAGTTAAAATATCCATTCCTTTATACCTACATTTGTTGTTGGTGACTTTTAAATAATTCCTTAAAATTATGGTTTTTTGTTGGACAAGCAGATATTTAAAAAATTTAATTTATGCACACATTTTGTTCACACTCCAAACAGAAACAAGCAGATATTTAAAATTTTTAATTTATGCACACATTTTGTTCACACTTCAAACAGAAACAATTATATATGCAGGATTTCAGTGGATCAGGCCACACAATATGTATAGCCTTTACTCGTTAAAAAGTAACTCTTTCAATTTTTCTATGGGAATAAGTATAAGTGAAGCCGCTGAGTTCCTGAGCTCATGAATCTACCAATCATCGAAAGTACAATTGAACTGGTGGTTATGGAACACTCCCTAGGAATCTGGTCCCACGGGATTCACTTGCGACCCCGATCCCTGGAACTATTTTAAATCATCTTTCTCATAAACACATCTTTATATTTACATCTTATTGATGGTAAACAAATCTTTATTTAATTAGCGATCGTATTCATTTTAAAATTTACAAATATACGTGTCTGTCTAAAATCTAACACTAGCATTTAAAATGTCACTATTTCTGCAAGCGTCGCGTTGCCCGTCGAAAAGGCCGGTTTTCCGGTGTAGTGGGCGGTGGTGCAAACAAATTATTACCATTGATGGCGCCACCACCCATCTGTTGGGGTGTTCCCGGAACAGGCTGGCTAGCTGCGGGCGCACCACCTTGGGCTAGCCCACCAAAGGTAAAGGCAGCACCGGAAGCCGCAGAAGGTGTCGCTCCACTGCCAAATATATGAGGCACACCATTGCCCATAGCAGGTGTGGATGGCGCAGGCGCTTGACTGCTGGCGCCAAAGTTAAATGGCTTTGTCCCAATACCACCCTGCGTTGGTGCTGACGAGGCATTCGAAGCAGCACCGCCGAAAGCAAACGGTGCGTTACTATTCGACGATGGTGCCGCTGCACCTACAGTGGCGCTCTTGTTACCAAAAGAGAAACCACCCCTCCTGGTCTCCGGTTGATTTTGAGCAGCGGCCAATGCAGAAGAAAACAAAGACCCACCTATGCCACCAGGCGGCGCAGGAGTTGCAGCATTAGAAGCTGCGGCGCCAAATGCAAACGGTTTGTTCTTGGGGTCAGAGGCTGAAGCTGCAGCACTAAAGCTTCCGAAACTTTGAGATGGAGCTGCGTTGGTGACATTTCCTGGCGTTGCCGGGCTTCCGAAATTGAAGCCGGGCTTGACTGCTGCCGTTGCGCTGGTACTGCCAAAGATATTTGTGCCGCTAGAAGGATCAGCATTGCTCTGTGATTTGGCCACTGCCGCAAAGGAAAATCCATTAGTGTTGGGCTGACTTTGTATATTGGACTGTGTAGTTGCAGCTGTGCCACCAAAGCTGAAGGGCTTGGCGGGCTCCTGAGCAGTGGCAGCGCCAAAGATTGGCGTTGGTTTCTGCACGCCACCAAAGCTAAAGGGACTGCTGTTGCTGGTGTTGTTGTTGTTGCTAGCGTTGTTGTTTATTGATGTGGCGCCAAAAAGTGAAGGATTCGCTTGATTGTTGCCATTGGAATTAGTTGCGGTTGATGATGTGGTGGCGCCAAAAAGTGAAGGATTCGCTTGATTGTTGCCATTGGAATTAGTTGCAGTAGATGATGTGGTGGCGCCACCAAAGCTGAATATATTGTTACTAGGTTTTGCTGCACTATCGACTGAAGTGGTGCCGCTGGTAGTCGATCCTGTGCCAAAAGCAAAGGCTGGTTTATTATTAGCCGAGTTTGTTCCCGAGCCAAATGCAAATGGAGATTTGTTATCCTTGTTATCAACTGAAGTTAGATTGCTGGGCACTGCAGATCCAAATGCGAAATGTGATTTGTTATCGTTGCCATCGACTGACGTCTTGCTGGCAGTTGCTGCTGAGCCAAAAGAAAAAGGTGCTTTGTTATCCTTGCCAACCTCACCAACTGAGCCAAATGCAAAAGCCGCTTGTGTGCCACTTGGCTTGTTATTGTCCGTATTCGTACTGCTGGTGGCTCCTGAGGAAAATGAAAAGGCTGCTGGTGTCCCGCTTGACCCATTATTCTTGCTATCGCCTACCGCAGGCGTTCCAAATGCAAATGGAGTGGCTGTTGTGGTAGTTGCAGGCGTCTGACCAAATGAGAAAATACTTGGCGTTGCCTGCGCCGTTGTTGTTTCCGTTTTCGCGCTGTTGCCAAAAGAGAATAGATTGCTGTTGCTGCTGGTTGCCGCTGCAGTGGTGCTTGATGGCGCAGCAGCGGCAACTGTTGTCGCGTTCGGTGGTGCATTGAAGTTGAATGTCTTCGCTGGCTCTGGCAGAGTCTTAAAAGAACCGCTACCAAAGGTGGTTGGTGTTGCCGTTGGCATTGTTGTTGTGGTGGTTGTTGTATTGGGCGTACCAAAGCCGACGTTGGTGCTGCTTACAAATCCAAACGCTGGCTTGGACTCTGTGGTTGCCGCTGCAGCACTTGTTGTTACTGTAGGTGACTTGAAGTTAAACGTGCTTGTTGGCTGACTGCCGAAAACAGGGGCAGTAGTGGGGGCCGGCGCCATTGTTTCAGTGGTAGTTGTCGGTTTCCCAAAACTGAATGTGCTTGCGCCTAAGCTAGTAATTGTGGTTGTTGCTGTTGTCGCTGCTGCTGCTGTTGTTGTCTGCGCAGCAGGCTTGCCAAAAGAAAACACAGCGGTTCCACCGCCGAATCCAGGAGCCGCCGCCGCCGTCGTAGGTGTTGTCGATGTGGAGGGATTGCCGAATGTAAAGGTAGATTTGGGCAATGTTGTAGAGGTTGTTGCGGTCGTCGTTGTTGTTGCACTGCTGGTGGCTGCAGCTCCAAATGTCGCCACACTTGTTTGACCAAAAGCAAAAAGGGGTTTGGGAGCAGCTGCGGGAGCTGCTGTTTGTATACCGGGGACCTGAAGCGACACAAATTAGTGTTTGTTAGGAACATTATTTAAGAGGGAAATGGTATACTTACCATGCTTGACAGCGAAGTGGACGTGGTTTGACCAGAATTTTCCTCGGATTGTGCCGAAGTGGTTGTTGAAATGTTATTTTCTTGAGTGACAGTTGTTGATTTTGTTGTTGCTGTCACAGGGTTTATGAATGACATTATTGTGCCTGTAGTGGTTGTTAAACTTGCCGATTTGTTGGCTGTGTCGGCGGCCTCTGCAGCAACTGACGTTGTAGTCGCTATCTCAGTTGAGCTTCCCAGCTTGAATGATAATATGCCGCCAGATCCACTGGTGCTTGGATTGGGTTCTTCATTTTTGGATTTGGCGGCGGGATTGGGTGGCGTTTTGAACGTAAACATTGGCTGTGTGGTAGTTGTGGATGTTGTGTTAGTCGAAGCTGCAGATTTATCTGCCGGTGGCGAACTTGTCACCACATTCAATATAACCGGCTTGGTTGGCAATGCAGACGTCGTCGTTGTTTTGACGGTTTGTTCCGTTGTGGCAGCACTCGTCTGTTCCGTGCTTTTGCCCAAAATGGGCTTAATAGGCGATGATAAAGTTACTGGTGCTGTTGGTGGCGATGTCATGCTGGAGTTTGCGCCATCGAACTCATCCGCCAGTGGTTCACCCTGATAGATCTCACCACGCAAGCTGCTCAACATAAGCGCCAACTTCGTTTTGTGCGTCCGCTCAATGCTCAGATTTTTCGAACCACTCATCGAGTTTTGCTGCTTGGGTTTGACAAATTGTATGCCAGAATATTCACCGGATTCCACATCGGGACTCTTCAAGTCTTTTTGTGGCTCCTGTTGTGCCTGCACTCCATGTTGCCGTTGCTGCGCATTGAAGAGTGTTAATTTGGGTTTCGGCCGTGTTTCTGCTGTCTGCTGTGCTTTGCTCGGGTCTTGTGATGGCTCTGAGATGGAGCGATGTGCTGGAGCGGCTGCCGTTGTCTGCTCCTGGGTGTAGGGTGTCTCCGGCAATGGTGTTATGGGTGTGTGGCAACTCAATGATTTGCCTAGCTGCTCAAGCCTTAAGTCTGCCGTCGTTTGTTTACGCTGAATCTTCGCAGCATGACGGTCGCTGAGCGAATTTTCGGGAGAATTGCTGCCACTGCTGCTGGTGACCGATGCAGTCGAGTCGTTGGCCATATCCGTGGCATTGCTTGCATAGCCATTGCTGATAGTGTTGTTTACTCGCGCGCGTATGTCGTAGAGCTTGCGTTTGTGAGTATGCAAGCGGCTGGAGCTCAAGGAGCTGGCGATATCATTATTGTAGCTGCAATTGCGACGCTTGGCAAGCTGTTCGGGTGACTTTTGTGGCGATGAAGCACTATAGACTGATTGCAATGGTTGCTGCTGCGCCTGTGAGTATTTGGGATGGAGCGGAACAGTAACACTCAGTTCACGTTGTCGCTTAAAGCTTGACGGTTGCGCAATATGGTAGAGATGATGAGGGGGATGGTGATGCATTAGAGGCTGCTGCTGAGATGTTCTATCTAAACCATCTGCAAAATCAATTGCACGATTGCAGCTTTTCTTCGACTGCTCCTGGTGCTGGAGGTCCTGTAAAAAGAGGAGGTTTGAACAAGTACTATGGAGCTCTGAGGTTTTAAGACCTACATTTGTGTTGATACGTTTGCGTGATATCTCCTTTAGCGCGTCGAGCACACTTCGCGTTGGTTCGCTCTCTTGTGGCGGCGGATGCATTATTGGTCGATTTTCCCGCGAAAGCTCCTCACAGGTCTTTGGCAGGCCGATCATCGAGTTTGATCGCAGCAAACTAGGCAATGTATTGCCACAGTAGAAACTTCGCTCCGGTGGCGCTATTCGTGTCATCGGAACTTTGGGAATACTGGTTTTGTAGGGCAACGGAGAATGCAATTTCTGTGAAGGTGATGACTGAACCGGTCTGTTGTACAAATTCCTTGCCGATAAGCTGCGATGTAAATTGCGCCCGTTTCCATCATGGTACTTTACAACGCGCGAGGCTAAACCACTACTGTTAATGTCCGCATAGATCCTTTAGAGGGACGTACATGGAATTTTAAATAATTATACAACAAATATATATCACGACTTACGTTGGATCAATTTGACTGAGATTCAGTTTTTGCCGCGATATTGAATGCGATGACATCTGGCGCAGCAGACTTTGGTCGGCCTTGGTTTTAGGTGTGGTCGAACTCTTGGGCGGCGACAAGCACGGAATTGAGCTGCTACGTTGTTTTGGACTAAGCCCGTTAAAAAGTGGCGGCCGCCTGTGTCTGGCATGAAAAATATATAAGAAAATATAAATACATACATATATGCTTTTAAATTTGAACTCAACTTACATTGGCGTGCCGTTAATGCATGTCGACTCGGCAATTGGGTTCGTCAAGTGGGGTGAAGTTGTGTTTAAGCTAAAGCGCCGCTCCGTTGTAAAGGTATTACGATGCATGACGCGACCGTGTTCCTACTATGGTTATTACTTTTTCTTTTTAGTATCAATTAATTGCACAAAGAGGATTTGTTCAACAAGGCACACTACAATGCCAAAATGTGCACGCGCCAAATTCCGAAATTCCAAATCCAGATTGTCTTCTTATTCGTAAACATTTAGTTCATTGGCCAGTGACGCACATGTATGTAGGATGGACGAATATAAAGATCCGACAAGATTCAGATTCTGGAATTGGCGCAACAAATTTGCGTTTGACTCACCTGGCGAAATTCTTGAGGCAAGCTAGTGATGAGCAACAAGGTTGAAGTATCGATATAATTTTGACAGCGCAGCTCATCGATTCAGATTTAACGCACTTGCAGCACTGGGTGTATGCGCACAACAGAAGGTCACATTGGCGATTTCCGTCCTCCATCTTTCTGCATTGAGTTTTCACGATGGTGAGTTCGGCTGCGTTCAATTTGACTAAAATATTGTGTTTTGAAAAAGAAAACGCCAAACCGTGAGGTGGAAAACTTGAATGAATTAGTGCTCAATAGATGTGCTATGAAAATTCAAGTGACGAGGATGTTAAAATTTTCCAAAACGAACTGTGCGTTCAACAAATAAACATAGTATGCCCTAACCTCGAAAGAGAGATCCAGCGGCACAGAGCAACGCGCATTTGATCGACAATAATAATCGTAAATTTATATGCAATTCTTTTATTTGACATTTGCAGCCGCCTAAGAAGGACGCAAAGTCGTCGGCCAAGCAGCCGCAAAAAACACAAAAGAAGAAGGAGGGATCCGGCGGCGGCAAGGCCAAGAAGAAGAAGTGGTCTAAGGGAAAAGTCAGGGATAAGTTGAACAACCAGGTGCTGTTCGACAAGGCCACCTATGAGAAATTGTACAAGGAAGTGCCTGCTTATAAACTTATCACTCCCTCCGTGGTGTCTGAGCGTTTGAAAATCCGCGGCTCTTTGGCCAAACGTGCTCTGATTGAGCTGCGTGAAAAGGGTAGGTGTTGGATATGCATTCTGATACTTTATCTAATACTAATTAAAATGTTCGTATGTTTCTTTTAGGTCTGATCAAGCAGGTCGTGCAACATCATTCCCAGGTCATCTATACACGTGCAACAAAGGGTGATGAGGCGTAAATTATTCTGGGGAACGAATGGCGTTACCATAATTTTACAGCTAAATTACTGATTGTATGGAAAGTACTACCACTTTGCGTGTGTAGTAGAATGTTGAATAAACTTGCTTTCTTTTTGATGTAAGGAATATGTGAATTTGTTTTAATCCTCACTTGCATTTTTGGCTGTGTATTCATATGCATGTGTGCATGTGTTGGTGCTTAGCACGCGTAGCCACAGCTGTTACTGTATTGTTGCACAAATAAATATCGATTGCATCGATGTGTCCACCACTAACGGGTTGCGTTTGACGTTTATTTTAATGACAACACAGCAACAGCGGATTAGGTGCTGATTTGGCCGTAAACTGTGAAAAATGAATTAAATACTGCAATAATTAGGAGAAAATACACAACAGTGCCGCGCACAACCGTGTACACAAGCCCAACGGGCTGTTCAGTGACGAAGCAGGGAGCCTCCGTGTTGTGTTGCGTGCGATTAGTTAAAAAAAAAAAGCTGCCGTGCCGCTGCCGCCACGAAGAGTTCTGACGAGCAGCTGGAGCTTCTCAACGGGTATAACGACCAGCTAAGAACAACGATAATACCACGTATGCAAACGCACTGAGCGAAAATACGTAATGAGTTTTGCTTAACGGCCATTTCATGTTTTTTCAGCCTAACCCACATCTAGGTCGAATTTCTGGTGGAATTTATCACCATCAACACCACAATGATACCGCTTACGCATAAGGATCGCAACAGTCTCGGGTATCGAGTAAGGGAGAAGTTGAACAGTTGGAAGCGACTTATATTCTCTGATCGTAATTCGCGGAATTTGTTTCTCTTTTTGCTTCTCAATTTGAGTTTTGCTTTTGTGGAGCTGTTCTACGGGATTTGGACAAATAGCTTGGGCAAGTCATCTTTATATTTAGTCTTTGCACTATCTTATCTTTGATTCTCATCAATTTGACGTTTCTTATCTTTCCGCTATTATCAGGTCTGATCTCGGACTCGTTTCACATGTTTTTTGACTGCACGGGTCTTCTGGCGGGCTTAGCTGCTTCCGTAATTACAAAATGGAAAGCCAACGATAAGTTCTCTTACGGCTATGTGCGTGCCGAGGTTTTGGCTGGCTTTGTCAATAGCCTTTTCTTGCTCTTCATTGCGTTCTTTATCCTGTCTGAAGGCGTAGAGCGTCTGATAGAGCCGCCGGAGGTGAAGCACGAACGTTTATTTGTTGTGTCCGTCCTAGGTCTGCTTGTTAATCTGGTGGGCATCTACGCATTTAATCACGGGGGTCACGGTCACTCACATGGAGGCGGTGGACATGGTCATTCTCATGGAGGCGGTGCCCATGGACATTCGCACAGCCACAGCGATATGAGCAATCACAATCATGAGGCTATTAGCTTGAATAATGGTATGTATTGCGCGCCTCTGTTGCTTTACAGCTAACTAAGTAGAGTTTGTTTCTATTCTAGGTCACGGTCATTCACACGACCATGGACATTCGCATAGTGACATGTCCGGCAGCAATTCACAGATCATGCGAGGAGTCTTCCTACACATTCTTGCCGATACTCTTGGCTCTGTGGGCGTAATTATTTCCGCGGTACTTATGCAAATGTTTGGCTGGATGATAGCGGATCCGATTTGCTCCATTTTTATAGCACTGCTCATTGCGCTGAGCGTGCTAGGTCTGATTAAGGAATCCATCCTGATATTAATGCAACGTCAGCCAACGTCGTTGGATCGCTCGTTGCTGCAGTGCTATCAGAAGGTGACCGGACTGGCTGGTGTCTACGCGGTGCAGGAGCCACATTTCTGGACACTCTGTTCTGACGTTTACATCGGCGCTATCAAACTGGAGGTGTCAAAGAACGTCGACCCCAAGTATGTGGTGACACATACACGCATGATTTTCGAGGCAGTAGGGGTCAAACAAATATATATACAGCTCGACTACGTGTGATCCTAATCCTGATCTGAGGTTATTCGTGGGAATAATATGTATATTTAACAGCATCATGTGTAGTATGATGTTTTTTATATTTACATTTTAGTTTATTAGGATGATTGAGCCGAAAGTTTTGATGCGCTCTAAAGTGTAAACTTGTAATTTGCAATTTTGTTAATTTATTTTTTCTACTTGTTGAAACACCATTCCAATTAAGAAGCAGGAGCAGCAGTTGCTGCCGAATAGAATTACTCTAATATACATAAATATGTAAGCTTAAATTCGTGCATTAACAGGTACATCATTGCATTCACAAGAACAAAAACACAAACTGAAACAAATTTGACTGACTTTTCCATTACACACACGCATACCTTCTTAGATACAAATAGTGAGGCAGAAAGTGCATATGATTACAAGCAAATTATATTTTGCCACTTACAGTTACCGATTGAAGCATCAAAATTATGAACGAAATAAAATATAATTTGTTAATTGCATTTTTTATACACGCACCATAGGTTTTTCTATTTTTTGAACCAACCTATGTATGAGCATCGATGATCATTGCGTTTGATAATAAACATATGTATGTATGTACATATGTATGTATTTGAGGCCATGATAATAGATTTACTGACCTTGCAGATCATTAATTCTTAAAGCCATTGCAAAACTGCAACAAAAATTTATTGAATTATAAAGAAACGGCGTTAAGCCAAAGCTCACTGTAGTGAGTAAGTGGAGGTCGGCAACAAGTACACAGACTGCACACATACATATGCATGCGATTACATACATATGCATGTGCATGACTTTCTTTATAGTTTTTCTAAAAATTTCTATGCAACCTGGCAAATATGAAAATGACAAACATTTAACTACAAATGATATACATATTGTTGTATTGTAAGATATAGCCCCCATATCAATACATTGATAACAACAATAAGGTTAGGTCGAATGCAGCACCTATGTATGTATGTACATACATACAAACAAATGTGTATGATTTGTAAGTAGAACACGTTTGCTGCTTGCAAAAATAGCAAGAATGTAGAGTGGGGCGACAGCATGGGTATAACATTTCGTAGTGACGTCATCGTATCAGCCGGCGTCAGCGAAGTCCATCTAAACCTACGCACCGCGCTCCATCTCGCTGAGTCATTGACACAAACAGTTACTTGCAGACGTTTTCACGGCATACATCCATACATATGTATGTATGTATATAGGGACGTATGTATGTATGTGTTTTTGTCTGCTTAATCAGGCAGCCGGGTGCCCTTGCCCTGCTGAAATGCAACAGAATTGCAATAAATACACTTTTCAGGTAGTTTAGCCTTTTGTGTAAGTGGTTTCCGTTTAATTTGTTTTCTCCTGTTTTCGTCCGTCTGTGTTGGGACATTACAAATGTTCTCCTCTTTTTGAATTTTAAACATACATACATTAAACCAAAAATACAAACAAAAATATTAATTTACGTTGCTTTGTTTAATTACAATAGTTAAGATCTTTTTATTAATTATTTTAGCTACTGCTGGCCCTGTCCCCAGACAGCCATTTTGGCTGTTATTTTGGGCTGGGCGGCTGTCTGCGTGCTCGTCTCTTGGTTCTCTTGGTAGTACAATTTTGTATTCAATAAACAGTTATTTTGATCTTAGACAAACATGAAAATGAATATAAATGTATAAAATTAAAATACGTATAAATTTGGACCATTTTCGCTGAACTTTCTACTTGTTTAAACAAAATTTTGAACTTATTGAAATTGAAACTAAAAATCCGTGAATTATGTGCATGAGTATGTGTCTCTTCTGTTCGTAGCATGTGTGTCTGCGCCGGGGCGTTTCTTGTTGCAGTTTAGGAGGTTGTTATTGTTCTTTGTGTTGTTGCTGCCATTGAACTTGGGGGTTGTTGCATTGCCTGCAGCAATGGGGGCAGTACACACACACGCACACACCACTTTAGCACTTTTCCTCTTCGAGACCGTGTTTGAAGAACATGAGCACTGGAACGCTAGCATTATCGATGTCACGATATTCGCACATAGCTACCATTCCGTCACAGTCCATGGATTCGCCAGTGAAGAACTGCAAGTCCTTGAAGCGGCCCAAAATCTCCTTCATCACCTTGTTCATGTTTGTCTTGAACACATCTACTTGGTCGGGTGCATTTTCCTCCAGCTTGCTCAGCACCTTCTTCATGTAGTCTTTAAGGTAGAGTGTGAAGGACTTTTTGTCGCCGAAAGCGAAGCATTCTTGTAGACGGTGGTTCAGCACGACATCAACGCCTCTCTCGACGTTGGATTCAGTGCCCTCATCAGCCTCCTCGGCAGATGGATTGAAGCCAGCAATTTGGATGTCGCCTTCGGTGCGACTAATGAGTTTGCCGTATACCTCGTAGATAACCTCATCGACCAGCTTCATTTTGTATGTGTCGGCGAACATCTCGTCACCGGTGATGATATCCTTGTAGATTTTCATCTTGTTGGCGTTGGGTTTTCAAATGATGGCGTATAGAAAATTGCAATTAAAACTGCACCAAACCGGGACCTCACGACACGACTTGCCACGCGCTCGACAGCAAAAGAAAGATGGCGAAACTGAAGCAATAGCAGCAGCGATTAGTGGTGAAAAAATCTGTGACAAAGGCAAAACGAGTATGGAACTGCCAACTTAATTGAAAACTTTGTTATCGGAATAATGATTCGTTACTACTGTTTGCGATTGGGTAATTTTCTTGCTTTGACAATAATCTCTTAGGTACATCTCCATTTTATTTGACAGCTGTTTGGCTCTGAAAAATTTGTACGAGAAAAAAAAATGTACGTAACTTTAAATGGCTATAATTTTTGAGATATAATTCAATTGTTCACTTACTGTAACATAGGTATGCACTTTCAAGCACACTTATACGCCCAGCTTTGCGCCAGGGGCTGCAAGTGGCCGCTGCCTCTCGTCAGGTTTCTCTAAAAGTCGTCTCAGTTGGATCCACAGTAAAAGATGAGACCTTCTTTGAGAAGAATGAGCGACTAGGCCGCCAAATGTCGCCACATCTGACTATCTATAAGCCGCAGCTTACCTCTATGCTCTCAATTGCTCATCGAGGCACAGGTTTGGCTTTAGGTGCCACCGTCTGGGCCCTAGGTTTGGGCGCATTGATCGCGTCGCACGACATAAATCATTATATTACAATGATCGAAGGTCTGCAGTTGAGTGGTGCCACACTAACCGCCATCAAGTTCATCATTGCCTATCCGGCGGGCTATCATACTGCTAATGGCATTCGCCATTTGATCTGGGATACAGGAAGTTTTCTCAAAATTAAGGAGGTCTACTCAACCGGTTACATAATGGTCGGTGCCTCGTTCGTGCTCACCGCTATATTGGCGTTGCTTTAAGGGCTACCCTGGCGTGATAGTTGTCGGCAATGTTATCAGTTTCCTTATTAAATTTTAGTACGATTGTCATTGCTTACTTGAGTAAATACACTGAAAATATGTATTTGTAAGTGTTACGCAATGTTCTTGATGCTATCGATATATTTTAGGTCGGGGCTGGCTCTTGCAAATGGAGCTTTAGATCGGTTGCGTGTTTCGGATTGGCTTGCGTTCAAACTAAAATTGATAATAAATAATGTTTAACTATCTACTATGTAGCTACATTTATGCAACAATGGTATGCCGGCCATTTTGCAAACTACAGCCCTAAAGTAGGCTATTAGAAATTTAAAGTTTGAAACTGGTGAGTTATGTAAACAAAGGACGATTCATCTCCTGCTCGTAATCCAAGCTGAGAGTGGATATTTTGAAAACGCTAGTTGACCAAGAACTATAAACCGTTTGATTGCGAATGCGCCAGACAGGCGGTAGTAGTTTGTATAAATAGAGGATCGGGATCGATTGACAAGCAGTTCTATTTACCGAAGTGGTTTTAATTTTCCAAAAACAAAGCAAACTTGTGTTATCATGTCAGTAGCAGTTTAACATTGCTACCAACATTTAACTGCATTTGCTTGCCTGCTTTACGAGTATTGCAGTCGATCGAGAAAGTAGATATGCAAAAATTTAGCACGCACTTTTGCAAAGATGTTTGTTTAGAGACAAATTTGAAAATGTTTTCCAAATCTACTCTAATTTGTATAAATCGAGGATCTGGATCGATTGACAAGTATTTCTATTTGCCGAAATGTTTTTAATTTTTCAAAAACAAAGTAAAGTGTGCCGCCATGTCAGTTCTTAATCGCCTATGGTTACATTTACTTACATCTTTATGTTAGAGCGGATCGCTCGCAAGCATAGGGATTTGTTTGTTAAACGAGCATATAAAAAAAAAAAACAAACCATACGCTCCCGTTTTTTAAAACTACACTACTTTATTGTGAATTTTGGGCTATTTTCCTTTTAAAATCGAATGGTGCTCACAATCGTTCACTGGCAATTATGCAAAACAAACCATCCACGAGCGTAAAATGTATCTAACAACTAATATCACAATTTATTATGTAATTGAAACTGCATGTGGTATATGTATATGGTGATATATAGTGCGTCCCACTTCTATTGTATGTTGCCATGAGTTGTTTTTGTTTCGCTTTGCGTCGAAGGCGTCTCCAGCAGCTCAAAATCGCAAACCAAAGAGAAATGATCCGAAGGATATTGAAAGCAGGGCGTACGATTTTTTCCAATTTGCTCACCAGCCGGAAATTCCAGGCAATTCTTTATCTGCAATCGCAAAAATTGAGCAATTGGCTCACTATTCACGTCTTACTCCTCACCTTTAGCTGCTCGTGGGTATAGAACACATAGTCAATGGTGTGGCACTCCTCTCCGTCCTCACGTATTTTCCACGTTGTATACGGCGGTTCCCGTTTAATAGACTGTGCGACCAACTCGCTGACATCCCCCAAGGCAGCCTGCTGCTCATCATCTTTAATAGCATCTTCGCTATTCAGCTGATCCTGGTCCTGGTCCAGTTTTATGTTCGCATACGCGCTCGATAGTTTCAGGATGTCGCAAGTTAGGATCGTTGCGTAAATCGGCTCAATGGGCTCCGCATTGAAGTCGCCGCACAATAGAACGGGGCTCTCTCCTGCAAATTGCTTGATGAAACGTACCAAGTCGCGTCCTTGCTCGTTGCGTAGCTTGGCCAAGAGGGCGCCGTGGCGGGCTTTTAGGTGTGTTGTGCACACGCAGAACTCACGACCCGTGGCCTTGACCTGCAGACGTGCCGCTATGGCCACCTGATTGCTCTGGACCCGCCAAACCTCCAGTACACGCGTATCGTAGCACTGCAGCTTAAGCTTGTCCCGCTTGTAGAATATGGCACAGCCATCGGGACCATTATTATCTTCTATATAGAGGCAGGGCGAGTCCGGCTTGGGATAAAAGATGCCCTCGTAGTTTTGACAGCCCAGAACGGTTTGCAAAAACTTGAAGTGGTCCACTTCCTGGAAAGGCATCAAAGCAAGCAAACATGCAAAATGTTAAAGCGCAACTGTGCCGGAAACTTCGAATTCGACTTGTGGTTGGGCATAAATACTTGCAGACAAACAACATCCGGCTGATTTTGCAATATCTCCTGCACAATCAAGTACTTGCGATGGTCCCATGTCAGAGCCTCCTCGGGGCAGCGCACAAACCCATCATTATTCTGGCCCAAAGCTGCAAGCAAAAGCAACTGCATGAGCACCTTTGGAGTACTCCTTAGATTAGTTTATTGCTTACTCTGGGACAAAATGTTCCATTGCAGAAGTCGAATGTGCTGTTCTTCCGACTTGATGGGGGCACTGCAAACTGTAATGAGAAATTCGATGGTCAATTAAAATAAAATCTTTTTAAAAATGATGCTCTTTTTGGGTTTTGAGGATATTAGAAAGCTTCAGAAAATGTCACAATTACTTTGATTTACTAAAACTTAATTGCAAAATTGTTTGTCAAGATGTAAAGCTAAAAGTATTTAAATAAATTTAAAATACTTTCAAGTGAAAAGCGAAATAAATGCCTTTTTCTTCTTGTGACAATTAGAGCCTTTACCTCGCGAAACGGCATTCAATTTAAGGCAACGCAGTCCATCGGTGACATCTTCATCGATGAACATTGGTGTTTGGGGCTTCAGGAAGTAGCGCTTCAGCAATGGAGCCTGGTCACCTCCACGCAGCTGTTGCACATGTTGCAGCAAAGCAGCAGTGCTCAGACCTTTGGGCAATTCCAAGCCGTCGTCCTGTGAGTCCACATTGTTGATCTTTGGTGCCGAGTTGAATGAGCCCATTCTGCAAGGCATAGAGAACTCAATAAGTCTGAAGGGAAGTTGCAAAAATATTCAACTGGCAGGTCATGCATGTTGAAACAACTTGCAATAAAAACAACAACACAGATTCTCATTTAACACACAACAACAATGCAACAAATTTTGCAAACTAGCGCCTTTATTGTACTCACAACGCCTTAGGTTTTCTATAGAGGATTTTTCGTAGTATAATGCTGAAAACGAATAGACTATGACTATGTCGTACGCTAGCTGAGAATTTTGCCATTTGTGTTTTGCTGTAAAGAGTATTGTTAATGTAGAATTATCATGTTAGGTGTTTTATTTCAAACAAAGCAACTGGTTCACCACCGACTGTAATAATGAATCAAAAACTCTCAAACTCGAATAATGGAAACCAATAAAACCGCCAAAAATAAAAACTGTAACGAAAAGCTTTACGTTGAGAATCTAATTGTAGGCATCCCCACTTCAATTAGTCGAAAGATTAGCATATGCAGCGATAAAGTCGACTCCCGTTTATGAAAGGCTGTAAAATGCTGATATTTGCGATAATCTTAAGCTGCTGCTAAAAATTAGTATGCTTGTATAGTTTTATGCATATCATAATTGTTACTGATGCCAAACAAATTAGCAAGTTATTTTCTTTGCTTTACAGTGGGGAAGCACGCGCATTGTAAATGTCTTGAATAATAGTCCCTAGGGATTTTTAGAAAGTGCTCGACAGATCTGAAGAGTTCTTCATTGGTCCGGTAAAGTACCGAACCACCCACACAGGCAGTTGAAAGTCGAAGCGCCACCAAAACAAATAACTTCAAATCTCATCTGAGACAACACATGCATGCTTTAAAAAGTCGCTCGGTCAATAGCTTCACAGCTGTTGGGCTGGTTTTGAGCACTGGTCAGTGGAAACCAGTTCTACTTGCTTGGGGCGCAACCAAGCACCACTTCCAAGCTGAGATTGTCGTAGTCAGTGTGGCGACTGTGGCGGCAATCAATCAGCCACCCAGCCAGCCAACCAACTAACCAACCAAACCAACCACGAAACCAGCCAAGCTCTCACCTGGTCAGCATCACCTTTTGGAGATAGGACTTGCGATCGTTCTTACAGGGCGGCTTATTGGCCCGTTTTATATGCAGGGCTTGCTCCATCTTTCGATACAGGATATAACTTTTACTTTCAGACACACGTTTAAGAACTTTCGAGTTTTATTCTGAGCAGGCTTCTGTCTAAAGATGTACGAAGTGCGCTCGAAACCGCCTTTTCCGAAACTGAATGCCAACTGAAATGCGGCGTTTTATTAGAGATTACCAAACACACACACATACACATCACCACACCATTGAAAACCATCGAGCACCACTGAACGCCATTGAAGAGTAAGAGAAGGAGAGAGAGATAGAGAGAGAGAGAGAGGGAAAACGAGTATTTCAGCTTCAGTGTATCTGAAAGATACAGAACGAGATCAATGCTTCGCTTGGTTCTACTCACGTGCTCGCTTTGCCTATAAGACCTATAAGAATGAAAATGAGCACCAAAAACAACGCTATACGAATAGCCACATTAACATCCTCATAAACAACAACCACAAGAACCACAACAACAACGTCGCCAAAAAGTGAAGTTAAAAGCTTATTAAATATGTATTTATGGGTGCTGGCTATCTTTATGCACATACATTTGGACATTGTGCGCTGCAATGCTTTTGTCTTTCACCCGCCGTTGTGTGTGATTTGTTTTGTTGTCTGGCAGCGGCGACACCGAGTGCCAAATGAGATTCTGCGAAAGATTTTGAATATCATAGAATTGTGATGAAAACAAAAGTGACAGCGTCACGAACTTTGACTCGACGTTACAGTTGATCTTGGAATTGTTTTAGACTCTATAAAACGCACGCCAGGGTGAGCAATGCTATGAGAACTCTTACCCAATAACACTCAACTAACGTGTGACTAACTAGAATGACACACAAAGCACATTTTATAATACACTATAAATTACAGTGCCATTGATAAATAATAATCGAATTTGTTGGAATATATTTCTATGAGCTTCACCTATTACTCTGCATTTTATTCATAGGGTATGGGAACTTCGTTCAATCGCAGAAAGTCCTTTCCTTAATCGTATTGCATATGCAAATTGTGCAGACGTTCAGAACAGACACACACTCACACACCCATATTTGCAAGCAACATGCGCATATTCTGCATATATATAGGCATAGATAGAATTCGTATCTTATGGCTACAATTTATACAACAACGCAGTTACATGCGTAATGATGCAGCTGCAACACGCCTACACGCCGACGCACACCTCCACATTCCCTGAGTAGTGTCGTCCCCCGCCCCGCTCCCCCCACTGACATCTGTGAAGATTGTTACCTTGGTATCGGGACCGCCACACGACGCGCAAACGTCTTCGCAGTGACAATTAAACGCGATGTTTTCATTAAGAACTCCATTTTGTTGCGTTTAATTTGTATATAGTTGAACTATACAGATGTTAAGTAAAGGTCTTAAGGACACACTCAAAGTGTAGCACTAGAACTGTGGCACTATATTAACTGCAAATGCTTTATAATAATTGTCAATATCGCAATGTCAAAGAGACGCGGTTCAAGCTGTATTTCCTAGAATGGAAGAATCGTTAATCGAGGCATTAGTACGAGTATATGAGTCTGATTGTTTCAATGCAGATGGGGAGTATCGCAGGTGGAACCATTTGCAATGCGTAAATGTTGACAGGTGTTCCAACACCGAGCACCATTTAATTATTGATTGCCACGTGTCCAGACACACGAGTATGCAACTGATAAGCGGGAACACAAGTTGCGCTTTTGCGTATGACTGCCTATCTGCCTGCCTTGTTGAGCGTTGCTCGGCAACATTGTTGAGCGTGACATAGAACTGAACCAGAACTTTAGCGAACACAGATAGTAGGCCTAACAATCTGCATATGCAATGCAATTAGTCACACCCTTAGTTATAAACCAGATGGAAATAATAAATTACTCAAAGAATAAAGGGAAATCTTATGCAAAGAGTGAGCTAATTTAAGAGATGGGGAACAAACTTGATAGAGGCAGAGCAAATGAATTTGTACACAATAGACTTATTTAAACCCGACTTCAAAATCCGCTTGAAAATATTAGGCCATTTGAAACACAACATGGCTGTTTAGAGCGGGAAAAATAGGGGTACAAAAAGATATGTAAACAATGGTATTATTATACATATACTATGAGTGTCAAAACTAACTCGTTAATTCGAATCACAGAAATCGTAAATGGCAAGGAGTGTTTTGAAAATACTACTTCGTTTTTTGATTCAAAATGCCGCGTATGTTTGTTACAATTTAAAAGCCTTTTAATATACGCTTAAAAGCTGAATTTTAGAATTCAGAAATACAAATTATGCGCTAATCAAAGTTGCCAGTTGTCGATTGATGTTTTGTATCATTTCTGACATTGTTTTCCAAATTCAAGTTAAATTTGTAACCAAGCGCCTGTCTTGTTGTGTACTCGTAGCAGTATAGTAGCCGTATAAGTCAGTTGATTTGTAATTTATGCAGATATTTCACAATTAAAGGCTTTTCAAAAAATACCAGTGGATTTATAATATATTGTAAGCTAACTTTCAATAGCGAATTCAATTTGAATTGCTTCGCATTGATTGGACCAAGTTCATGTGTTGTACTTATCTGTGTAAGAACCACGTTTTGTTTATGTACTCGTATGTATATTGAAGATTTTTTATTTTGATTTTATTATTTTGCTCGCATTGAGCAAGGTTAGTTATGCTTGGGAATGCTTTGTTTGGAGTTGGAGTCCAATGGTAAAAAGAACACTTGACACGATGCCAGCCATGAACTTGATTTATAAGCGATACGCTGCAGGCGCTGCAAACTAAAGCGGGCAACTGGCACACAAGCCACACCAACTGCTGTAGCAACAACACCATCAACAACAAGCAGCAACAAGTTTTGCCACTCACACACATTCACACATTCACTCACTCACTCATTCACTGTTTCATGCAGGCAATGCATGCCCCACACCTTCGGCGCGGCCCTCGTCCTCCTCACCTTACGAGATACAACAACAGATCACGCGGTGGCTCATAGTCAATCGATGGCTGTGGTGCTGGCGGTGGCGGCGGCAGCGTGTCTCCAGCATCAATACTACTCGCCACACCCAGAGCTGGGGGAGCTGCCTCCTCGCTACTGTTTCCCGCCTTCAAATCGCCGTCCATTTTCATTTCCAGTTTGCGTGCGGCCAGACGTTGTTTCATTTGTACGGTGGAGGTCATTGCCGAGGTTTTAGCCAGCGCTTCCGCAATTTCATATTTCTCACGGAAATCCTTGCGCTTTTGTTCGGCCTCCTCTGCGGAGGGTCGATACCCAGCCAAGCTCAATTGGAGGCGACACTCCTCGCTGCACAGCCGCCGACACATCTCATTTATGGCACTGGCGCTCGCAGTGGCCACTAAATGTGCAGGTGCTGCTCCCGTACAGGTTAGACAGGGCGCATAGTTCTTTGAGTTGCCCATCAAAGGTAACTGATGGGTGGGAGAGGGACGATTTGGATCGTGGGGCTGATCATCTTCTGCCATAATGTTAAAGTAGAGTGGTGGCAGGTCGCTATCGGAACTGCCACCATCTCGGGCATGGCTTGATTTATGGTTGACACCGGGCTGGGGTATGTTGAGAAGCAGAGCCGTCACTGGCATTGCCTTGCCCAGAGCAGGCTGCCGCCTATGACCGTAGTGATCCTGAGGCTGCTGCAGGCTTCTGCTCTCCATTGCACTTTCACTTGACACACTTTGTTAACCACTTTTTAGAATTTTTGCTAGTTTTATGCCAACACTTTTGATATATAAATCAGAGGCTACGTGGCGTGCGCGCAATTCGCAATTTGTGGTCTACCAATTCAGTTAATAGCGATGGTAATAATGTATCTTGCGGATGCACTCAAAGGCTACTACTTCTACTACTAGCGGAATCGTCGTCCACTGTGCGTTCAGAACATCAAACAATTAATACACGCGTGCGTTGCCTTTTCCTTATTTATATCTTCGGATGCCGCGCGCGCACAGATCGAGGCAATCAAGTGGCCGGCAGCTCGCTCGTCTCGCTGCTTGCTGCTTGTTGCTTGCCGCTTCGCTCTCGCTAATTGATTGAGCAGCTGTCGTAGTAGCTTGTTACACTAACTACATACATGCTGCAGTTATTGTTGTATTAAAGTAGTTGTTGCTGCTTGTGCTTGTGCTGGTGCTGTTGTAGTTAAGGTAAACAACATTTATCCGTATGTTGTGTTTGGCACGCGACCCCCTGTGGGTTTGTTATACTTTCCAAAATGTCAAAAGCAAATACTCATAATGTCATAACCCATGCCCACAACTAGCCAATTCCTCAGACATTATGTTGCTATGTACTTTCTATAACTAGTATATGCATATATACTCGTATGCTTATATACTTTGTGAGTTCAAATGAATCGAATCGGCTTACACGTCATGGCTGTACCATGTGCGTCTAATGGTGTTTAAGCCAAATAATCAAATAGTACCTAATGGGATTTTAATAATCAACACTCAAAGGTCTGTACGTTAGCTAATTTCTGTCAACTGTGCATGACCAGAGATTATTATCAGTTTAAAGCTCGAAGCTTTATACATGCTATTTTTTATTTATGACCACCTCCAGTCTGGATTTTCAATCAACGCCCCAATGTTTCTTCCTTCACATCACCTCTCTCCTAAATTGCATTGAGTTTTCACCTCCAAATGAAAATTGTATCCAATAAATTTTCAATGGTGTTTAAGATAAATAATTAAATCGTATTAAATGGGATTTTAATAATTAACACATGCCTTTAAGGTCTGCACATTAGCTAATTTTTGTCATCGAAATGATATATAAATAATTATTTATGGCCACCTCCATTCTGCATTTGCAACCAACACCCCAACGTTAATTTCCTCACATCGCCTCTACCCCCCATATAGCATTCATTTTTCACCTCCAAATGCAAATTGCATCCAATAAATTTTCAATTAATTTGTGCATATAATGCATGTGTCACGATTAGCATATATTCAAGTACAAATTAATTTCATTTAATTTCATTTGGCCAATAGTTCCGCAAACCATTTCAAAACAAAGCAATGAATGCGTATATTCAGGGCCCGCCTAAAAGTAGGCAAGTTTTTTATTTAATGGGGGCCACAATAAAACGATAATACAAGTATTATATGTATGTATGTACATACACTAAATAATTTGAACAATTTTTGACTGCTGCTGTGTTTACTTTACTGACTGATAAGGCAGATGGTGTAAATAAAAAAAACTATAAACTGTCTATACACATAATTGTACGTACATACCCCAAGGTCACCAAGCCAGCCCTGTAATCTACGTAAGTACACGACTTCCTATTGTGCACTACAGTGAAAAATCTTTGTTTTGTCTTTGTTTTGGCAATATACTGCGGAAAATGTAGCCAAATAAATACGAACAGCGACGACGGTCAATGAGTTTTATTTATACATGTGCTGTATATATGGCCAACATATGCATATACGCCGTTGAACAGCGTCAACATGTTGAGAACGTTCTCGCGAACTTGGCGATTATGACAGAAATTCGGAAGTAAGAGTATGAGAATTTTGAGTGCAAGGCCAGTAAAGCAGACAGACATGTAGGTGGGATGCCACATCAGGGCACCGACTTGCCACCTGTTCCCGCCTAAGGCAGGTCATTGAGTTTAAGCTAGTCTAGCCTTCATGCAGCTGGCTGGCTAATGATAACGACTTATCAAGAATCGACTGGGCGCCGTTTCAAGCACAAAAAAAGAAAAAACGAAACAAATAAAACGAGCGCTTCGATTTGCTGTGCGCTTTGATCTGCTTTGTTTTTGCCAGTGTACTGAGGGGGACGTGCCGGTTACCAGACGATTTCGTTATACATCGCATTGATGTGGGCATACCATATCTCGACTTGAAATAACTGGTTCTGTTCGGGCTCAAGCTGATTTCGCCGCTGATGCAAAGGAATAGCTACACATGTTCCACAATTAACTCAGCATTGCAAGTGGTTCGGGGCACACGATGATTTAATGACATTATTGGGGGCATGATGGTAGTCAGAACTCACCATTTTTAAGCCTGCACCACTCCAAAGCACATTACTTAAGTGTTAGAAGCCCTGGTGGGATCACTGAAGACCAGTTACAGTCACAGCTAATTAAATTTTCTTGTTACACTTGTGGCATTATTTTGGCGGAACCCAAGCGATTTAAACGCGTTGCTAAACCGCAAAGAACTAAACGCGACCGTGTATGCTTTGCGACATTTATAGGAAGGCAACGAGCAGCTGGCTGCGATGGCAACAACTATCGCGTTCCTCTCCGTATATTGTATTGCTGATAAGGATAATGAGAGTGTGTAATAAATGCTGCCGTAGACAATGGGTCAGACTGTGAGGTTGTGTGTGTAGGTGTGTGTATGTATGCCATTGCACAATCACTGATTTACAATGAGAGAGCAATGGTCGTTCCTTTCCCATCGCTCTCGCTCTCTCACGTTGTCGTTGATCTAATCAAAACTAAGTTCAATGGCTCGCGCGCTTATCCTCAGGGTTTATGGAGGCACTCCAATTATTTCTTAAGCACTAATGTCAACTGCTTTAAAACCCTCTTTTAGGACTAAGCAGTGTCGCACAATGTTTTCGAATATTGGTCAATTGCAAGTACTTAAGCACACCACATGAATTTAGGAAATAAGAATTGAATGTTAGTACATAAGGCTTCATTTTTGATGAATACAATTCAGTTCAATTTTTGAATTTAATTAATGAAGTGGCGTTTGCTTTTTGATTCCCCATCAGGTTAATCAAACAAAAAGAAAACCGCCAAGACGAACCTCTCTAAATAAGAAACTTTTCAAAAAAAAATAATTGAAATTGCCAACCCACCAATATAGACTGCCTTTCCTATCGCCTTCAATAAATACGTTGCGTTGCCAAAAATTCGATTTTGTGGCTTGAGAGCTCTCTCTTTTGTTGAGAAATCTACAACTATATGATTTTGCGGACGTCATTAGCATACACGTATAAGTATTTATCATGCGGTGTGACTAAGAATCGTTTTGTACGTATAATGTTACGTCCAGTTACTTCACGCTTCAAGCCCAATTTGTAAAGAAGCTGATAAGGAGCCACAGAGTCACATTCTTGTGGTCTGGCCCAGGTCTGGGGGCTATCGCTATCTTATCATGGCGCACACGCGATCTAGCCATTTTCCAATGGCTGTTGGTGGTCATGCAGGCGTGGAAGTTGGCGAAATTTTGTGCTCACCTTTGGACAAATCGAAAATTATCGCTGGTATATTATGTATATATATTGCCTTCGGGCGGTCCATAGTTGCGATAAGGATAGCCATAGCCTAAATTGCCACAAGAGGAGGAGTGTGATGCATAATTCAGATTTTACTGCCCTCGGGTAAATTAAATTGGTTTAAATTAGTTTTAAGCGGCTGCATTTGCGTTTTAAATATAACATATTGGCGGATTGCTGGAATATTTTCCATCGAGGGGGGCTGCTGGTAGCCCGAGCTATTGGCCCACTGACTAGTGCGTGCAATTCTATAGATAAGATATTGTTCGGTAGCTTATCAACGACCTTGTTTAAGTGCTCGCGTAAAGGGCACCGTGCCAATGCATTATAAAAAGAGGATGTGGGCAAATTAGCATTTCTATCTATAATATGTTATATATTCCAAATGATTGCTTATGGCTATTGGGTTTGTTTACTTCGGAGTTGTCTTATCAATTTGGGCGGCAAATCCTAATCGGCACACCATAAGCGTGCCGCATAAATAGCCCCACAATATATGCAAGAACAAATACTTTTAAATATACATAGTTGGAATTTGTACAGAGTGTGCTTATCAACGTATGCTAGTATGAGTACGTTCTGTAAATGAAAGCTTTTTGACGTTTGTCAACGCTTCAATATGTATGTATGTACGTATGAGCTGAAAAGGTTTGGAAATAAAAATATTGTCACATAAGATGAGGCAATTGCCTGGAGATTGCATTGACAGCTGAAGTCAATAAGTAAGAATAGGAGAAGGGCGAAGGATCGAAGGCAACTTAAGCTTCAACTTTTTCAGATGTAGTACATCTGTTTGCTTTATCGTTTAGTATTGTAGCCTGGAAATATTACGGACCATCGAATAAGTAGCCTGTACAGATGCAATTACTTTAAACGCTCAACAGCAGTCTCGCCCTCTTTCATCGTACACAAAGGCACAAGCATTGAGCATTGTTGAAGTAATCAAAAAGCCATTTTGTTGCCACTTCTGTAAATTACATTTGCATACATAAAATAAATTATAAGCGAGCAGTGCGGTGCCTGTTTCCAACCGACCTCAAACCCAAACAAAAACTGCCATGACACTGAATAACGACGCACACAGAAACAGAAAGCGAACTCGCCTCTTTCTCGAACTTGCCTCCTTCTCTCCTTCTTTTCCTCTCTCACTCCTTCTTTCGCTCTCCCAACCACCCGCCAACCCCGAGCGGTACCCCAACAACAAATACAAAGATAAAGACGCATGAATTATCATTTCGAAAATATTGTCGTCACAATGTCCAAACTATAGGCAAGCAATCAACGAAACTAAAAATTATACGAATGAAACGAAAACTTAAATACAAAACTTAATAAATGCAACAATATAAAAAAAGAAAAAAAAAACACAATTTTGCCCGTCGCCGCTTTGTGTGTGTGGGTGTGGGGGTATGTGTGTGTCGTATTGTTTGTTGTTTTATCAATAAGCGCGCTGGACTGGGGGTCGGAAAAAAGGCGCGGCCTATGACACCACTACATCACACACTGTGCATTAGATAATTAGATTTCGCGTAGTACTTACAAAAATTTCTTTAAAAATTTGTAGAATGCAACCACAAAATACACAAAGGTAGAAATTAAATGCATTTTTATTAAAGCACAAACAAAATTGCGGAATCTATGTTTCCAAAATAATATTTAAAAACTTAGAGTCCACTTCGCAACAAACTTTATTTACTTAAATAAACAGTATATTTTTATTTTGCACGAAACGGCTAAAAATTAATGCACTTTACTAAAATTTCACTATCAATGTCATTTCTACGTTGAACACGTTTTTCACACTAAGCACACATACGTACGTGTATTAAGAAAAAAGAGGAGACAACGCTCTGTGACGTATACAAGCAAGTGTGTGTGTGTGAATGGCGCCACGCATGGCAGCATTGCTAAAGAGAAAGAGCGCCAATCGTTAGTGAGAGTCAGCGCCAAGAGTACGTGAAAGCTAAATAGCTAACAAGCATAAAGTGAGTAGCAGTTACACACAAGCTGCTTTTTTGCAGTTATAATGCGCTACACTTAAATAGAAAATAATTAACACGTTTACACAAAGGTTGTAGTTTTTCAATTTGAAAACTGAAGAATATTCTTATTTCATAAAATTTGTATTTTTGAACATATTTAACAATTTATATATCGTTGTCGTTGGATCTATGACATACTATTGCATTTATGCATATATAAAAAAACATGCTTTTAATAATAATTATTCATTTTAACATATTGTAAAAAATGCTAATCTTTTCCAATTTATAAAAAATGGTCCACAACACTTTGAAGCTTATTGGTAAAAATCCATGAACCCATTAGTGCAGCGTGTACAGCCACTTGTTGTGAGCGAGAGGCAAAAAACATTTGTGTGGGCGTACAAAAGAGAAAGTAAATTGCCTTAAGAGTGTACATAATATAAGCTCAATTAAATACGTAAAGAGAATTTTGGTCTATGAATAAGCATATAAGCTCCTATAAGCTCTATCAGCTGTTTGGTAAACTTTAAAGCATGCGGCAGTGGTTGAACTTTTATAAAAGTTTTTGGTTAAAGCTTACAAGATATTTGACTACAAGCTGTATTGTTAGAGCTTATCAACTATTAGTTCCATGTATCTCTGCATCCCTATAACTATTTACTTAAAAAATATTATGCCCTTGCATTTACGAGTTGGATGGCATGTACTCAAAGGCTGGTCCAATGCGTATGGCTAAATTAATAGGTTGATTTAAATGCTCTTCGAGAGCCCTGAAACCAGTAGAGTAAAGTCAATACATTTTTAAGAACAACATTTTTCTTATCTGCGCACTCACCGTTTATCTGCCTCACTTTGATGTTGCTGATAGCCCTTGCGTTTGGCTGATTTATTCAATCGTAGGGAACGGCGCAGCTCTTTGGGAAGCGGCCTATTTGTTTCTCGGCGCAAAAGATCAGTCAGCTTTTGATATTTTGAATAGATGGTTTGCCAGGCCAAGCGGATGAATTGCCTGGACGCTCTTGTGGAATGCGGTGTCTGGCGCTCGCCCTGGCGCAGATCATTTGTGGAAATGGCCAAAGACATGTTGAGTTGGCCGAACAAAGGCAACGACTAATAGCCGAGGGCAGCACAATAAAAAATACTTGAATTTTCAAAGCTGATTAGATTTCACAATAGCAATAACGTAGTATTGCACGACACATATTGTCGTCACGATTTTGTATAAGGTGGTTAACGGGACGTATACGCAATCACTAAACCATTTACGATGATACGTAAATACCTATTACATAAGTGAAATTAATGCTGCATTCAGCTTTAAAATGATGCGATACAAGCATAACAGCATCGATGCCGAGACCTCCGGCAATTTGCGTTGACAATGCCAGTGAAATGGCAATTTTGCAGTAATTTCTGCCAAAGCTACATCAAATTAACTTCGCTACACACATAGATAAATATATATGTATGTATGTATGTACACTAGTATATGGCTGTGGGACGAAAACATGGTACAATGCAAGGACGGCAGACAGCAGACAAGCCAATCTAATGATATTACAATTGACTCGAAATTTAAAAATTTTGCAAACTACATTGTTGCAGCAGCAACAAGCCACGATGTCAACAGCATCGAGGACGATGGTAAAAACAAAACATCAGCAACGAGCCAGCCACTCTTTCGAAATATTCAATATTTTTCGTAAATGCTACGAAAAGATTGCCCGGAGCTTTTGCCGGCCGTCTGTCTATTCGTCCGTCCATCTGTCCGCCTGTTTACTCGTTTGCCGTTCTGGCCGAAAAACCCAAAACCTAAATGTGCCGCATTTGCTGAAGTTATGAATTTTTCGCATAGAACATTTTCAATAACATGTCGAGTCTCTCTAGCAGAGCCCATTGCCAAAATCACTCCATGTATATGTATGGGTATGGTGTATGGATGTAAGTGTGTGTTTGGTTAAAGGATATGCCCAATGACAACATGTCCTGCAACAAAATACAAATAGCAATACAGGCGGGATGGCCTGCCTGCCTGCCTGTCTGCCTGTCTGCCGCCTGCGCATGTGACCAACACCTAGGGACAATGTGTCGTTGCCGTCGTTGTGTCGTTTTCACAACAGGAGTGGTGGCCGGAGCAGGAACAGGCTACACAAAATTGCATGTGGTTGCACGCAGTTTGCGTGCGTGTGGGTGCAGTGGGGGTTGTGGTGCTGGTGTTGGTGGTGCAGGGTATTGGGAGCTGGTGCTGCTTATGTTGCTTCTTTGTTATATCAAAAATTCGTTTATTGCCGTATTGTCGACTCTGGGTTGTGATTTTGCCTTCAAAACATTTTTGGCCATTTTTATTTTGGCCGGTACGCCCCAGTTGACCGCTACCGAATGCTCTAAATTTGCTCTGACTATGAGAATCGATGAGAACGATTTAGAGAAATTTTAATTTTTTCACGTAGACGTGGAAAAATGTAGGTTTAATCAAATTGTTTGGAAACTTTAAATTGTTTATTGAATTTGATCTTTTGCATTTTTTTCATATCCTGCAAACATGCAAATATCCAGCGAATAACACATGCAATATTATATTTGATCTGATTTTTTTTAGCATAGTTCTTTTTTGCCGGCGACTGAGAACGGCTGAGAAGGGACTTTGGACAACCCTGAATGCAGAAACCTGAACAAAAATGTGAAGCATTGAAAAATCATTGGCTATTCAAGTTGGTATCCATGCCAACTCAGTTCAAACTTGCATTGTCCTTGTTGAAAATCTTTGGCTTCCAGGTACATTTATTGATAAAAAGCAGATGATAGCAGGTGGAGGAGTCGAAACAGAGGCAGCCAGCAACTGTCAGGCTAGCTACGTATACGACTTTTGCCAAAACATGCGCACAAACACATATACTTATACACAGACTTACAGAGATATTCCGGTTCTATTGTAAGCCGTAGAGAGATGCAGTTTTAAATTCTATTTAAATGCCAAATAACAGCCACACACATACACAGGTATATTACAATATCCTGTGGAATATACCAGACACAACTATGTCCATCGACTGCCAGTGGTAGTGGTCAGTGTGCAGATGCTTTGATACTAAATTAAAGTGCAATAAAAGTAAATGGCTTCATCAGTTATTTCTTTTCTAAAGTCATGCGTGTACGTGTACGTGTACGGTTGTGTGAGTGAGGCGACAACTCTGTCAGAGGCTCTCAATCTATTTATCTGACCCAATACAGGCTGCTTGCATTTCATTAAACTTTCAACAAAACTTTCAATAACTTTGATTGCATGGCTCTGGCGTTTTAGGTCTCGGCATAAGTTAATTGCCATTTAAAATTTTATTATTTGAACGTCTAGAAAAATTTGAGTAATTTTAATTGATTTTTGGCCGTTGCCATTAGTTCTTTGTAACATTTAAAGTAAATTGTTCATAAAATGAAACAATGCTAATCAATGTAATTTCGGAGGAATGTTGAATGTTTTTGAAATCAGTTGTAAACTGTGGCTTTTCCTATGCCATAAACTCGTATATATGTATGTATATTCTTAAATTATGAAGTCTACGTGGCTTTCTTCCGTATACCACAAACTTCTATTTCCGTTGTGTAACGAACATGAAAACTTTGAAATGAATTGTTGCACAAATCACAACTTTAAGCCGCAGAAATTGCAGCGAAGGGTTGTTGTAGTAGTAGTTGTTGTTGTTTCTGGTGCTGCTGTTGGCCTCATTGACAGCCTAAAGCCAGTAAGGACATTACTAGGACAACAGCATGCAGCCAGTGGCGACGACGTCGTTGTCGGCGGCGTTATGTAAGAAAACGAGTAATAGAGAATAAGAACAAAAAAAGTTCAAGGATTCGTTGCACGTTCGCATCTTTAACGCCATATGTTGACTTTTGCTACATTTTCGTGCACACGCACACTCTGAGGCACAAACACAGGCAGACATGAGGAGAGGCACAGGCACCGGCACAGGCCCGGGACCAGGCCTAGGCACATGCAAACACCAACACTTGCACATATCCTTTATCTTATTTGCGCTATTTTATGCCTGCCGGCAGAAACAACAAAAGCAACAAAAGCAACAAAAACAACAACAATAACGACAACGATGCTGGCCTACTCTTCTTTTTTGTTACCACTGTTGTGGGTTTTTTTTTTCGCCAATAGATTGCGCGCCACACTTTGGCATTTTATAACATAAACTTTCATTTATTTTCGCTCCTCTTTTGCAAAACTTTTTTTGTCGCCTGTGTTGTTAGTGCTTGTAATGCCTCCATGTACGTGTGTGTTGGAGCATATGTGTGTGTGTGTGTGAGTGCGTTTGTGTGGTTGGCACATGTGCGAGGACCACAACTACATAAACATATGTATATATGTACATACATATAGCTGCAGAAAGGCTGATGTCTTGACATCTGTCTACCAAACCGAAGGAGCAACAACGGCGTCACCAGCAGTCGCCTCAGAGCCCAACGACCAAAGCGGTCGAGTGAGCATTTGAAAATCGTCCAAAATGTAGATTTGCATGCACATCAGCATTAGGCATACATTTATCTTGACTGGGCTGCGGTCGCGCTGCCTTTTCGGGCGGGGAGATAAAGAGCCAGTGGGGGCACATTTCAGTGTTGGCAGTTGTTGCCCAAAATGGCAGCTAAGCATCATTGCACCACAGATATACGCTTTTGTATATGTGGGGCGAGTGTGTGGGCGTGTGTTACATACTTTTCGAAAATATGCATGCAAGTGTTGATTTTGTTGCAGCTAAAATGCTGGTTCCCAGATAATACAGTTAGTAGTCCACAGACTTCCACAGCCGAGATGCTGATAAACTGCTCTATTCTGTAAGTACACTGTTGAAAATGAAGTTTTCATACTCAAACAAGTTGCTTAAGTTGGTTGCACCAAAAATTTTAATAAATACTGGCCTTTTTCTACATCATCTCTCAATTCGGACAAAATAATATTGAAATTTAAAACAAGCGATGGAAAGTGGTCTTCATTAGCTGAAGTTTATAGTTATTGACACAACGAATTGATACAATACATATTCATAATATCCGAATGGCAATATTATTTTACTCTCAAATCTATTAATTTGGTCTAATAAATTGTTTTCATTTCAATTATATTGGTGTTATGAAATATGCTGGCCTACTCCTCTTTTGGTCAACATAGTAAAAAATGAAAAATATCAGTGTCAAAAGTATTAAATGGTCAATTTATTTGTAAGTTTTTATCTCTTTCCAACTGTTGACAATGTCCTAATATCGAATTGTATAATGCCTATCAATTTCAAATTAGTTGTTATTTTAAATAAATTCATTTTTCATTTGACATTAATTTAAAGCGTCTTAAATTTCTTCTTCTGCAATGTAAGACTTGCTTTAGGCAAAGGCAAAACAAACGTTGGAATGCCGAAAGCCTAGCTAACAATTAGAATAATCTCTCCTCATGGGCCACCATTTATACAAACCCCGCAGCTAGAAATGTCAGCCCCAAACAGCTCGCGAAACTTATGGCGAACAACAGATCGACATACTTATCGACCATTTGGCTTAAATATTTTATGCAAATTTTCAATGTAATAAAAATTTTTCGTGCCTACAAATACATAACACACACACACACACATACACAGTCGCGCACATATGGACAAATGCAAATAAAAATTGATGCCAATGCCGTTTGTCTTTCAATACATTTTTCTTGTCCTTCTTTTTTTTTGGCACACGCTTTGGCATCAGTGGAAGCGAGTCAGAGTGAGTGTGTGTGTGTGTGTATTTGCAATGATTTTCAATATGTCGCAACTCTCGGCCCCCAACTTGTGCTATCTGTGTTGTCAAACACCCGCGTGCCCTCGGTCTGTCCGCTCGCCACTCCCCTGCCCAGCAGCTGCCTGAAACAAATGCCGAGTTAATGCTTTGGCATACGTCGCCATTGATGTCGTTGCCGATGTCGTCGACAATGAATGCCGCATGGACATGACCTCAATTGCAATTGTATCTGCATGTGAGTGTGTGCATGCATGTATGAATGTGTGTGCGTGTGTGTGTGTGCGAGAGTATGTGCTCGGGTGTAAGGGATA